GCACGGCAGGACTGATCTGAAGAATGCTTCCGCGGCATAACAGCCGTCAGAGTCCGCTTGCATGTGGGAATGCCGAAAGATGTCCTTGCCGAGCCGTCCCATCAGTGAACGCCAGGCCTAAACTAAACTTTGTCTGGAGTGCTAGCAGGATCTAGTAGATCTTCACAATCTCGCGAAATTTATTTTGGAATTACCATGAGCCCATGAAGGAAAACATCGTGAGGAAATCTGTACACATCTACAAAACAATTTAATTATGTGTGCAATCATTCTACATCCTCTACCCAAGGGCGCCTCCAAATTATTGTAGAAGCGTTGCAGAGGCGCGTCTGTAGCGCGTCTTCCGCGCCACTATTAATTTTCATACTAGTCTAGTCTACAAAAATGGCGCGCACGTGTCGCGACTGTGGCGCCTCTGCAGCGCTTTCTATAAGCGTCAAATTTGAAGGCGTCCTAACTTGTGCACATTATTAACACAAACCACTTTTTACGTATTAGTGCATGCCTAGTTATTAATATATTTTCTTATTTTTTCACAAGTCGGGACTAAAAAAATCGCAAAACAATGTATTTTAGAATAGGTACAAGAACACAAACCTATACCTACCTAAAGTATTGGTTATTTTACAGTGCACACATAAAACATTAAAGCTATAAAATACCTAGTCAAATAATCATTTAAACAATAATGACATAAAGAAAAAATAAAACACAATGTGACAAAAATGTTTAGACAATATTTAAATGTGAGATACGAAAGTTAGCAATGGAACGTTCTGACAAGACGTCTCTTGCCAAAGTCAATGTTACTTTAAGATTGAGAACAGAGTGACCATTTGTGGCAGATTGTTGCCATTTGGACAGATTTAATTTTTATTAATTTTCATTGCGACAGAACTTATTAACGTTGTATTAGATGTGGCAGAGTTTGATTGATTTACGTAAGTGGGTTCTTTACTGTTTTTAGGAACAAACTTGAAAACTTGTTATTTTCTGCTACTACGAACAATAGCTGAAGGACAATGTTATACACAACCTATATCAAGTTTATAACCCCCAGCTTCTACAGGCTGTACTCATTTAGCTTTTTTGATGCTTTGATAATGAAGCACAAGTATTGATAGGTCTCTTTAATGCACGTCGTCAAAAACTGGGTCACAAAATACACGGGATGTCGCCATCCTTCTTTGCTATAAAGTTTTATACACGGTAACAACCGATAATGTAAATGTGTCGTATTGAACACTGCAAATGTTCTTCATAAATATGGTTTTAGCTAATCTTTCGTTATGGCCAAATATTTGTATCCTTTTCTCTTACAGCCAACATTCACTACTATGGTTCCACCATTCATGACCACCCTGATCAAACCTGAAGACCGGGACAAGTGTGATTTCACTTGCTTTGAACTTTTGATACTGTCTGGAAATGCTGTACCTGTTGAGCTTGTTAAAGAATTGAAGGTAATTAACTGAGGGTCGTATTCTAGAACTGTATTCAATGCTCAAGTCAGGATTGCACTGGCAACACAAGCACTGGAAATGCGACCCTAATGGCAGGACTTGAGTATGATTTAGTAACACGCAGACAGCAAGCGAGTGAAGTTATTTTTCCCCGCCGCATGCGCCCGCACCCATTCTGCGTAACCGGGCTGTCAGGGTTTTGGCGCGCAGTTTCCGTCGACTCACCGCCGCGGAATCTCATAATTAGGTACCACGGACTGGTTTCAAAGGTGTCGAACAAATGTAGTTTAGTTATTAATATTACCTATATATTAGTAGAACATAATAATTCTTGGAACGTTTTTATTTTCAAGTAGATTTGATTTTAGGCCACGTCAATTTATAAGGTCTTTAGAATCTCGACACATTATTTCATAGTTTTAAAATGTGGACTTTGTTATTCCAGACTATATCTCCAAATACAGAAGTAGCTGAGATATTTGGAATGACAGAGATGGCCGGAATTAGTTTCTGTTACGAAGACTCTCCTCCAGGCTCTTGCGGTAAACCTTTGGGATGCTTCCAATATCGGGTAAGATGTTTTTTAAGCATTGGCATAAATGAAAATAGCGACAAGAAAAATTATTTCAGTATCAAGAATTCATTATTGAGCTTTAGAATAAATATACCTATTCTGTAAAGAAAGATGATACTTTTTACATTTAGACACGAGAGACAGGTAACAAAGCGAATTGTCCGGACTTAGTCTAGTCTTGGTGTGATTAACACAAGTGTTGTTTGAATTTTTATGAGTATTTGGTTATTTATTAATCATTTTCCGTATTGTGCATAAAGGAGCGAATAAAATTACTGTGATGTACAGATATGTCCAGAGTTTGACTATAGAAGCTTTTGCTGGTTTGTAATAGGTTCCTTCACGCTTGGATTCCACTTTACATTTAACATCAAGTAGAATGGAGTTATCTCCTTCGCAAGTGTAAGAAAAAGAAAGTACATTTATTAATAGATACCTAATAAAATTTTCAGCTAATAGACATGGAAACTGGGAAAGACATAAACGTACCAAATCAACGTGGAGAGTTATGGGTTAAAGGACCGGGTGTGTTCAAGGTTAGTAAAGATTTCATAGCAGCAGCCTTTTATAATGATTCTGGTTCGAATCTAGCGGGATCGAAGGATTATTTTCTTAGTGTTCGATCTTAGTATTAATAATAACAAACTAGCGGAGTAATTTCACAAAATTAATTATCATAATGAAACATCTTGACATTGAATAAAAACTTAAAAATTATAATTTTATAATCATTAATACAAAGATTAAGAAAAAATTCCTTCGATCCGGCCGGATTCGAACGGACGTCTTCTAGCTTATATATAATAATTATAAGAAACTAGTGGAATAATTTCACAAAAAATAATTGATTGTCAATTCAATAAAAATGTATTATAATTTTCCTTATTTATTTTCTAATACTTTTTTATCTTTATCTGTCTTTACCGATTCAGATGTGGATTTTCTATTATTCGATGGTTGGTCTCATTAACTCTCATTTCATTGTACTGATACATTGAGGTTACTTAATTCATCTCTACTTTCCGTCAAACTTATGATTAGCCGAGTCTCAGACTGATTTACAGATATTGTGCAATACTCAGCATTTGTTGCCTTATCCGGCTTTAGATCGACACATAGCTTAATCAATCTAAAATCATTTAACATAAAGTGGAAATGTCATAACATATATTTTATATTTCCAGGGTTACTATCACAATCCCAAAGCCACCGAAGATGCATTTGCTAAAGACCGTTGGTTTAAAACTGGCGACATATTCTTTAGGGACGAGCACTGGAACTTCTATTTTGTGGAAAGAATCAAATTGATGTTGAAGTATATGATCTACCACGTTAGTCTATATAAGCGCTTCTATTTACTCAATGTCTCTCGGCAAACTTCGTGTTTCGGCTCGACGACAGCCGAAACACGAAGTTTGCCGAGAGTTTTATTCAGTTGCCCTTTGCCTTTGGTACAGAACGGACGCTTTCAGTCGACTTGAAAGTATATAGACTTGCTATTACATTTTTTATTTATTATACAATGGGAGGAAAGCCCCTGAATTTACAGGCACGACAGATAATTTACAGCGTGTACATATATTTTTTGCAAAAAGCCGATCATCATCATCATCATCATCAGCGTACACGCATCCACTGCTGGACATAAGCCTCCCCTAGAACACGCCAACTTTCCCGATCTCGTGCCGCCCGCATCCAGCCACTGCTGGCCACCTTGCTCAGGTCGTCCGTCCATCTTGCCGCAGGGCGTCTCACACTACGTTTTCCTTGATGTGAACCTTCCTGCAGACATGTCCGGCCCACTGCCACTAAAGCTTGTTGATTTTGCGAACTATGTCGATCACTTTAGCTCTCTGACGTATGACCTCATTAGGGATTCGGTCCATCAGAGAAACCCCAAGCATAGCTCGCTCCATCGCACGCTGAGCGACCTTGAATTTGTGGACAAGGCCTGTTGTGAATGTCCACGTCTCGGCTGCGTAGGACATAACTAGTAGAACGTACTGGTTAAATGCCTTAGTTTTTATTTAGGCTTTGTGGGATTGACGACCTGAAGATGTGGATAAGCTTCCCAAATACCGCACAGCCCAAACAAATTCTCCTGTCGGCTTCCTTTTTGAAGTTGTCCTTGCCAAGCTGAATATTTTGGCCAAAGTAGACGTTGTGCACAACCTCAAGAATAGCCTCACATACGGTTACAGGCTGTGGGGACACATGTGCCTTGAACATAACTTTCGTTTTGTCCAGGTTCATCCTGAGACTTACTCGCTGTGAAGAGTCGTTTAAGCTGTTCAGCATCTCGCCAAACTCCTGCAGAGATTCCGCAATAATAACAATATCATCTGTAAATCGAATGCGTGTGATGTACTGCCCGTTGATGTTGATGCCCCGTCCCTCCCACTCAAGCATCTTGAAGACATTCGCCAACGCATTATTGAACAGTTTCGGAGAGATGACGTCTCCCTGTCTCACTCCACGACGCAGTTGAATCGGTATTGTGCTGTCTTTGGACTTGGACAGTCATCTTGGCTATAGCGTAAAGACTTCTCAACACCTGTAATGTAACGGCAGTGAATCTGACATCTCCGCAAGGAGTCCAGGACAGCCCAGATTTCGATAGTGTCGAACGCTTTTTCGTAATCCACATACGCTAGGCACAAGAGTCGGTTATATTCTTCGATCTTCTGAATAATTTGTCTCAAGGTATGTATGTGGTTCATAGTACTGAAGCTTTTTCGAAATCCAGCCTGCTCCGGCGGCTGAAAATCATCGGTAAGACGATTCGCGATAATCCTCTAGAACAGCTTATATACATGACTCAGGAGCGAGATAGTTTTTCAGAAGAGTCTTGTCCCCCTTTTTGAAAAAACAGGACCACCACGCTCCATGTCTACGGTATAGTGCCAGTGTAAGAACGGAGTTGAAAACCTTGGCTAGCTCCTTTAATAAGACATTCCGGCCAACCTTAATGAGCTCTGTTGCTACTCCGTCTTCTCTCGGGGCTTTGTTGTTTTTAAGCTGTCCGAGTGCTATCCTAATCTCACCCACGTCGATATCGGGAAACTCATGAGAATGGTGGTGAGTTAATTTGGCTCTTGGATCGTTAAGTGTCTCGGGTCCGGGTCGTTTCTGGGCGTATAAGTCCGTATAAAATTTTTCTACTTCCGCGAGTACTTCTGGTTTAGAGGTGACCGTGTTTCCCTGAGGTGTTGTCCTCTTTATCAGGTGACAACTAGAGGCGGAAGATTTTGTGAAGACTTTGGAGCCTTTGTTATTTTCTATGGCTTCATGAATAGTCTTTGCATTGTATAGGCGGATGTCATGCCGTATAAATTTCTTTGTCTCTTTGTCAAGTACCTGACGCTCCGATGTGGCAGCATTAACAGCTTCACGTCTCTCCCTCATTATTTCCAGAGTCTCGCGGGAGAGCTTCAACTTACGTCCATTGCTCATTTGTCGAAAGTGTTTATATCCTACATCGCGGATGATCCTCATCAAGTTATTGGTGATGTCGTTGATGTTATCAGTGGTTTCCTGTAGCACAAAACGATTATGCAGGTCTATTTGAAACTTTTCGTTTCCAACTTCGGTCTGGAGTAGTGTTGGTCGAAGTGCCTCGTACCATTCGGTGATCAATACCTGTATTGAACCTGTTGATCACTGAGACATCTCTGAATATATATCGCTTGTCAGTTAAGATGAAGTCGATCTCATTTTTCGTCCTTCCATCAAGGCTCCGCCACGTCCACTTTCTTTGAGGCTCCTTTTCGAAAAAGGAATTCATCATGAAGTGCCCCTGCCCTTCGAGAAAGTTGACGAGCATTTGCCCCCTAGTATTTCTATATCCATAACCATATGGACCTAATCTCGATTCGTCGCATCTGCGTACTCCCACTTTCGCGTTGAAGTCACCCATTACCACGCTGAAATGTGTTTTGTTACGAGACACAGCTTTGTCTATGTCTTCGTACATAGTTTCGATCTCTTCGTCAGAGTGCGCAGACCTCGGAGCATATACTGTACAACATTCAAGAAATACCTCTTGGTTATTTTCAGTATAAGGTACGCCACCTTCGCCGACACTCTTCCGATCTCCACAACATTGTCAACCAGTGACTTATTGACGACAAAACCGACACCACCCAAAGAAAGTTGGTCTCCCTCTCTGAAGTAGAGCAAGTGGCCTGATTCAAGATTTATCGTGTCCTCGCCCTGTCTTCGGACGTCTCATTTGATGCGACTTAGATCTACTTCGAGTTCCGCGATATGCTCGTCCAGCCGCAGCGTGGGTCCATTGTACGTAGCCAGATTCAGTTGGTTGCGGTAGCCATCCTTAGCCCGGGGATTCTTAGCACCCCCCACTCCGCCGTTACTATGGCTGCCACCGCGATGACCAGGAATAGCAAAGCTATAGGGAACTGGGGTCGATTCTGACGTTATAGTGCTGCTCCAATGCCCTAGTCATCGCGCTGAGCAGACGTGTTGGTAACCGCAGTTCGAGACTTATTTCTGCGATAATGCTGCTGCCCATTACTATTTAAACTATTTTGTAGGTCCCGAGTTTAAGAAATGGTTATACCGCCATTTATCGGTCGCCAGAGCCTCGTTCGTTGACTAGCAGGATGCACCACGAGCAGGTGAAGTTGACTGTTGGGGAGTCTATAAGGATAGTAGTCGATTTCCGCCTTGCACCCCAAACCGATACGTTTAGGAAATATAACAATGGTTATTTTCAAAAAGTCCAAAAATGTGTTTTGTGGTGTTTCAATCGGATAAGTAAAAAATATTTTAAAAGAATATGATAAAAAAAGATATATTAATTCTTTTACGGTCAACTAAAAAGGTATGAAAGAACAATACATTTCATTTGAATTAAGACGATTTTGACTATTGTCTCAAACGGAACATGATTTATGATTTTCATTTATGCTTTAAGAAACTACATTGTTTAAGAACTTTAAAAGCTAAATTGGTTGAGGCTATCCAATTTATAGGCTGTCTGGAGATATTAAGAAAACTTTTGATTTTGAGATATGAGTTTTTGATATAAGAAAACAGAAAACAATAGGGCTGTCCTAATGGAAAAGCTTGATATTCGCCTTGATATCTTTAAGAAATTCAGGAGTTGAGGGCCGATGGCAAAAATATTATTCTCATGGGCGAATCGTATGCACACATCGAACACAAACGAGAAATCTTGGACAGAAAAAACAAAAAAGGTGTAAAGAAACCAATTTAGAAAGGAGAACGTAAAATCATTGTTCATGCTGGAAATGAAAAAGGTTTTGTTCCAGGTTAACCGATGTTAGATCGATATCGATCGATATCAAACTTAGCTCCATAGTCAGTTAATACCAAATCTAACCCCTAATAGTGATATATAATGCACCATATCATAACAATAACAAATGGTCAATTAAACCCCCGAACTCAAACACTCCAAAACTTCAAATTATAGCTTGGTTACAGCAACACAACATTCCTCACAACCCAAACTCATTAAAGCTCGATTTATATGACATTGTAAAAAACTCGCAGTTTTCTATTGACCGCATAATGGAAGAACATGGAAAACATTATTTTGGTCTCAAATTAAACTAAATTAAACGACACGTAGCTATTAAAAATATAGCAACGAATGTGACAACAATCAAAGAAACTATAATGGAAAAAATAACATGATTGAACTAGAAGAATGGAAAAAAGTATGCGATCATGCAATAAAATGTGAGGTTGAATATAGAAAATTTGAACCGTACAAGGGTAATTTTATAATAAATACCTGTTCGAGCAGCGCGGAAAGTGATTATTCCATCGATGGCGAACGGCTTTGTTAGATGAAGAAATGCATTCAGATACGGACTGAATAGAAATGATTAATTACCGGAAAAATATACATTTTTAGTTATACAAAAGACACACTTTATTCACTTTATATTTTTGTTAACTTGTTTATTGTTGTTAATAGTTTTACAGCTCTATATAGTTCACACGGAAATTAAAACAAAACAACCATAAAGCACGTTGTTCTCTATCTATATATAATCTATAATAGATTTTAAATCTATAATTAATGGACAAGGAAATTCATATGCTCGTGTATTAGGAAACCCGATGATTGCTGTGAGACATTGAGAAAATAGAAGCACAAACGTTGTATTAACATTTGAAATCCGACGACAATTGTAAATAGGTACGGGTGAAAGGGAAAAATGACTAAGCGACACTTACGTGGAAAACGAGTTTTCAAAATATTCTAAATCTTTCAGCGTGAATCAGAACAATTTCAATAATACTTATTTTTAAGCCAGAAGATATAGATAATCAGAATGATACTTATTTTCAAATTAAAATTAAAATTTGGTTAAGTGACCAATTTTTAATGATTCTGTTTATATATTTGCAGTCTTTAAAACGCAAAAAAATGTCGCTTGGTACCATTTTCCTTTGTCCCGTGGATATAATAAATCTAATCCTCTTGTTTCTCTGGAACTCGATATCTCAATTTTAGTTGTACTACAACAATCCGGGTTTCTTAATTACACTTAAAGTTCTGACAGTACCTTAGCTGATGATCGTTCTTAAGCTAACATACACGTTAGAAAGAACGAGAAATCGCGAAAAAAAAGAAAATTTCGATTTTTTTTGTCGACACGAGAGCCCAATACATTCTGTCGAAGGAAGTACGGCACCTGTTTATTGCAACCTTTAGTAACTGGCGTGAACATACTGCAATTTATGGGAATGAATTCATCCCAACTAGGAAGATACTTGGTGATGACAGCAGTGCCGATTTGCTAACTACGACTGACCAAAGGTTTTTACTTTATTAACAGCAGTTTTGGGCACAATTTATTATAAAAGAAATGGAAGCTAATTGTTTAGCAACGAAATTGTACGTAGCATAATTAATGACAGGACGAACATGTCATGCGCCTGCTAGAGCTCTATTGCTACTAAACAAAAAGTTCAATGAGCTATGCTTACAAAAACTTGCTTCCATTCCTCATCCTCAGTTACTTACGACAAAACGCTCCAAATTTAATTTCTTGAGTGTGACATTTTATAAATATTACTTACAGATATCCCCAGTAGAATTAGAAAACTTGATCAGATCCCATCCAGGAGTATTAGACGCGGCTGTAACAGGAATACCAGACCCTGAAAATGGAGACTTGGCGGTTGCTTGTGTCGTACGACAGAGTGGCAGCGGGGTCACAGCACAAGATATTAAGGATTTAGTTAAAGGTTAGTTTCCTTTTTAATTAGATTCGAGAACTTTCGAGAACTTAGACCTAGGCTATCGTTAGAATAGATGTAAAAAGATGAATAGGTAGTATTCGTATGTAAAATATGCCAATGAATGTTTAATTGCATAAATTGAAGAAATATTGTACCAATATCAAGAATATAATACATGATATATATTTATATGTTATATAGCTCGTGGATTTATGATATTAAATAACAATAACTTTTGTATAAAAGAACCGACTTCAAAAGTTTGTGGATTGACGTCTATTTGCTGCGTTTTATTGAAATCGGTTAGTGAAAAGTGAATCAAATCTAATAAATCGGATTTCATCCCCTAGTTCGGCACCCGTAACATACACACAAAAAATACATTGGAATTTGCATATAAAACCAAATATTGTCGTAACTCAACATTGAGCAATCGAGAAAATACAATTTGAAAATTAAAAATTAATTATTGGATGGATCTTATTTCGAATAATGTGATTATTTTTATTTACGCATGATTATAACAATAATTATAATATTAATTAATGGGTAATTAATTTATTTGTAAACGAGAATGTTGGTTTCTTTCTGTTTTTTTTTTTATTATTTCAAATCGTGTCCTCTCTATTATACAATTTTGAGTTATGACTGTATTTGTTTTCGTGACCGAATTGAGAACCTCCTTATTATTTTTGTAGGCGGGTAAAAAGCAAGCTATTCCTTTATTTTCATATTTTTCCGTACGGTCTTATCTGTAACATTAACAAGCACGCACACGTCAACAATTCACATATGTACGTCCAATTGTTGGATGCAAGAGTCAGCAAATCTAAAAAGCCACCACTCAATTAGACTACCTAATGCGGACTTGGCACTTTTCACGTCTCTCAGTTACGTAGTTACGTGATTTTTCTCCGACTTGAAGTCACGAAGAGGATAATTCAATAAAGCGATGCAAGTCATTATTTAGTAAACTAACTGCACATATAATACTATAAGTGCAGGTTGTCCGGTGGGAATTCAAACGAACGTAGGTGTTGGACGGACGGACTACAAAGGAGTAGAGCGTACACTCACTGCGCTATAAATATAAGCAAAACCATTTTTTATAGGTCAAGCTTCTTACATATTTAAGTTTTCATGGAAGTTCACGTACAAAGATGGGCAAATGCACGGGTTATAATAACCCGGCACGGGTTATAATAACCCGGCACGGGTTATAATAACGTTGTTAATAATAATAATATAATTATTTATTCAGACAACACAATTTTTTTAAGGTCCAATAGCATTAGTAACTTACAAATATAACTTAAAGACTAGGCTAATGGTAATAATAATAAATAGTTGTACAAAAATTAAATTATAAAAAGTGGCAGCCGACTCATAGATCTCTCACCCGCATCCAGACTCAATAGTCTCTTGTCAGACTACTTAATCAGGACCCGAATGAAAGATTTCATAACGGGTTTCGTAGTGCCAGGCAAGGTAACGGTTTAAAACCCATTAATACCCAAATTCGAGGGTAAAAACTATTTCAATTATAAATTTGGCGTAAGTCGTGTTTTGTTGAAATTATTAGAAAATCAACCGTGATCATGGGATCTGTAAAGGGCCCGAAACGTCGGTTTGTTTGAAAAAACAAATATACGCGATTTAAATCCGGAGAAATAGTTTCATTTCCTATGTGTGTGACAATCGCGAAAACCTAAGAACTCGATATTAGAAAATGTTTATTGCTCTCTGATCTAGACTATCAACATTTGCCTTTCTTCAGAATCGGTTCGCTTGATAACCGCATTAAAGTAATTTGTTCAAAAAAATCGTTAGAATTTCGATATTCGTCATATCGTCAATTCGTCTACTTTCCCGATCGGCCCAAGCATGATCGGTCGGGCACGGGCAGTCAACTCACCTTTTTTTTACGGGGGGAAATCTTTATAGATACCCCTGAGCCCAGGGAGACTCGGGGGTTATGTGGGGACTCTCCCTCCAGACTGGAGGGCCTACCTCACTAAAACCCGCCCGGGTTTACCTCCTGCCGGTTGAGTCGGCGCCGTGGGGTCGGTGCACATTCACCACGACGCCGCCCGGCCGCCCTAGCTTGCGCCAGGGCTCCCGCGCCAACGGATGGGTAGATCAGTTGTCCTCCGACCCGCCCCCTAGACGAGTGAGGCCGTGCAATGCAGGCTCCGGAGTCCCTGTCCAGAGCCCGCTGGCCTCATTAGGGGATCGGGCGAGCAGCGAACTGCCTTCGCCTTCTACCCGCACGTTTGCGCCGAAGCAGGTGCGCAGCCTTCTTTTGCGACATAACCTCTCCGCAAAAGGAGGCCACCGCCTCCCAGGACTCCTCGCTACCGAGCATGGCGACAACCACGCTCGGTAGCGACTGGTCCTGCCCTATTGTCCCCGTCAGGGTACGGCGCTGCTCATCCCACCGGCTGCACACCTCTGGGGTGTGCTGTCAGAAATGGATTAAAACCCGCTGCTTTGGGTAAAATCTTGGTTAAAACTGCCCATCTCTGTGAACGGTTGCTTTGTGAACATTTTTAATTGTAAATATACAAGTTTGACGTTATAACATTGTCACTTATCAGTTCGCTCAATTACAAATTTACCAAAATTGTACATAGAAGGTTATAATAAGACCATGAAGCCGTGGTAGCCTAATACCTAGACCTACCGTCACTCAAGCAGAGGCCGTAGATTCTAATCCGAGCGTAATCTGAGTTTTATGGAATGTATGTGAAAACTTTAATTTGGAATTTACCATGAGCTGTTCGGTAAAGAAAAATATCGCTATGAAACCTGCACGTCGAAGAAGGTGCACAACCCTCAGAGAACGTGTGAAGCGTAGCGGAATATGGCCTAAACCCACGCCTGATAGGAGGTCTGTGCGCAGCAGTGGGACGTATAAATGGGTTAATGATTTAAACCATTTAAAAACCATTTAAACCATTTATTTTCACACACATAATAATAAAAAAAAAATTTAAAAAAATGAGTCCAGAAATTATATATTTAGCTTTAATTAAAGCGCTGGAAGAGTAAAACAGGAATTTCAAATTTAGTCTACGATATAATTATGGTTAATAAGATTTTGAAGTGTCATTCTATATTTGAATATATATATTTGTTATTTCTATATTTGTTCTCATGAGAAACTGTAACCTACAAATTAGATGCTTCTACAAGCGCTGCAGTGGCGCCACTATGGCGCTGCAGCCGCGCCGGTATTAATATATTTCAAACAATATTAGGAGCGCAGCAACATTGTCTCTTTTGCATACTAAATATTGTAGCAGTGGCGCGCTGCTGCACCACAGACGAGTCACAGCAACGCTTCTACAAGCGTCCAATTTGAAGCACCAGTGTCATACAGTGGCGAACTTGCAGTCCTGGCCTCCCTAGGCCCCAGGCCGTGTAGTCAGTACCAGCATGCGTTCAGTAGTTTTTGAGTTTATCGGGATCAGATAGACAGACAGCAGTCACACACAGTAGTGATTATACATTACATTATAGATATGTAACTTATCTATTATATATTACTTTATACATAAAAAGTACGAAAGTTGTTTACGAAGATTACTGTTATACGATGCAGTGCTGTGGCCCGCTATAATGTGAGCCTTTAGAATATTTAAGTAGTCGCCATAATGTAAGCCTTTAGAATATTTAGGTGGTTTGAGTAATTTGTGAATTTCAATAGTGAATTTTTTGTTACGATTGACCGCCCCTAAAATCTGGCCACTCTAGGCCCGGGCCTACTGGGCCTTAGGGCAAATCCACCACTGGTTTCATATTCGCTTGTTTTTATAAAATCCGAATAACGTTTGAAGCTTATCCAAACAATAATACACGTTATAATTATTAATACAAAGATCAAACACTCAGAAAAAATTCCTTCGATCCGGCCGGATTCGAACCGACGTCTTCTAGCTTACCGTGTCAGACGCTATACCAATTAAGCTACGGAACGAACTAGCGAACCTCACGAAGTTTTCTATGTGCTTGCGTCGTATCTTTGCATTTGGTTTTTTCAACGACTTTTTAGTCGTATCTATGAGAAATCTATGAAAGTTTTATCACCCAGTTAGATATCTTTACAGTTATCATATCAATGAATATCAATTCAATAAAATATTAAAATAATACACGTTTCATTTTTTACAGAATCCTTACCCGAATACAAGCAGTTGCGAGGAGGCGTGATATTCATAAATGAGTTACCTATGACCGCTTCGTCCAAGATTCATAGAGTAAAACTGAAGCAAATGGTTCTACATATGGAAAGGGAATAATAAAGTCACCTTCGTTCACTAGCACAACTAACACGAAGCCTACAACCAAGTCTTAACTAAAATGCAACGTTTTTAATGTATAGACAAGAACATTCACAACAACTACATGTTCCAACCTTAGAATAATAACGCATAGAAACCTAGTCCGCACACGCTAAGTGAGGCAAATTGAAGCGCGCTAAAAGGGCCTACACGAGCGGGCGGGCCTTCAGTGCTCAAGGTCAACTTGCACCGCGAACAGATCAAGAATTTTAGCTAAAAATGACGAAATTTGTGGTAAATGAGTGTAAAAATACGTCAGACAAACATAAAATAGATACTAACATCACATTCCACAAGGAAGTAACGCGTTTCAACTTGTATTTTTACATAAATATTCACTAAAACCGAAAATTAACCTACTACTAAAACTAGCCTTCATGAATTTGATTTTTGCCTCACTTGTGACAGTTCGTTTGATATGAAACTATCATTCTATTTTATTCTAAGGTTCCAACTATCAGTGGTGATAGTGTTTTGTTTTGTGTTGAATTTTGTCAAAGAGTATCAGTATCGTAGTACCGCGAACAAACGCGACAGTCTATGCCTATTGGAAATGAGCTAGAGATAATATTGAGTATTTACCAATGATATTTATCCACAGTTGGGGAATTAACGTGACAGGGGGCAAAGTCGCTATTAGTTGCACAATACATTTCATTTTGCTTTGACCCAGAGACCTTCCGCTTACTATTTTTAATTATCATATCAGAAAAAATTACTTAAAAGAATACAGTCGAGTTCTTGAAATTATTGATGTTATGTTATATGTATTTTTCCTAGCGGAAAGGCAAACATCGTTAGACAATGCACCTAGCCTTTTTTTATATTTTTTACATTTATACATGGTGACTATTTTCTTGTTCATATTATTATTCCTACTCTATTATTGTTTAGTTAGATCACTCTGTTGCTTACTAATCTGTGATATTGAAGTGTAGTGTCTTCACTGCATATCAGTGAAACACACGTGTGTAACAATTTATCAGTTAACAAGAGAACAAAGAGCCAAAAACGACATTCCGAAATATTTTCTAACTGAAAATGTATTCTGTCATCCTTATCATAAACAACGTAATCGACTTTTTTTAACGAAATTCAGTTATTAACATTATGAATCCGCGAAACCAGATCTGCAACCTCAATGCGGTTTTTTAACATTTTATTTAGTTTCAGTTTTATTATTTTTTGAGGTGTTTTGTAAAATAACTCCACTAGGTTTGTTAGATTATTGAATACAAGGATTGAACCCACACAAACATTTTTTTTTTTCGTCGACCCGGTGGGTCTTCAGCTCACGTCCATGCTGCACTGTAGCATTGCTCTAACCATCTGATTCACTAGCCATTACCTAAAATACAGTGTGACTTTTTAATAGTGTCCCTTATTTAAAGAGACAGCAATAATCATCAAATAACTTTGTCTACGGGGATCCTTGCAGAACCGAGTGTAGTTACAGAGCTGCATTCCAACTGCTATAGTCGTTTTTTATGTAAAGTAGGAGGCAAATGAGCTACTTGATAGCAGGTGGAATTACAATAAAAAATCGATTTCAGCGTAAGGTAAAGTCAACTATGACCTTCGACCAAAACGTCGCACCGTTTAACATCATTGGCACTGAAATCACATTAACAGGCAGCATTCCAGATTTTCTTGGAATAATTTGATTTAATTAATTTTAGGAAACTATTTTTCCGGATTTAAATCGCGTATGTTAGTTTTTTCAAACAAACCAACGTTTTACCCAGGATGCTGCGAGAGGCCATTGAAATTAAAACACATCCTAATTTCAACAGGGAAGATGGTTTCTCCGTACCACCAGTTTGGGATCCAGGAAAGGAAATATCCTCTGATGAAAAATCCCAAGCAGACATAAGACTGCAGTAGTAATTAATATGTTTTAAAATTTATTTATTTTATTATTCCATTATTAATTAATAATAAACTTCATAAAAATTAATATTGTTAAAATAAAATCATTTGTAAAACATAATGTTGCGTAAATTGGAATGTTTCTTTGTAAAATTAAAAATAAGGTATTTAATTACTAACTTTCGTAACTATAGCGAAAAAATAAGGTGGTTTGCATTAATATAGGATCTTTAACATAACCTCATAAGAAATAATCCAACAGTGTTAATTTACACGATCGAGCTGGCCACTTAACGGCTGAATTTCGTGAAATTATGCGATCGGGAAATTTGGTTTGCTATAAATTCATTGTTTCGGTGGCTAATAAAGATGACTGTGCCACCAAAACGTTGGTTTGTTTGAAAAAAAACAAATATACGCGATTTAAATCCGGAAAAAGTTTCATTTTCTATATGTAACAATCGCGAAAACCTAAGAACTTAATTAAATTTATTAACCAAATTTTTGTAATTGTAAATATATCAACGTTTTTTGCGTATAATTTTTAAAGGTCCACAGTTTATTTAATCAGGTTTTATTTTGTTATTATTATTTGGATTACCTATCATATATAATATATCGAATTCTAAGGTTTTCGAGATAGTTACATAAAGGAAATTAAACTATTTTTTAAGACCCAATTCGCGTATATTTGTTTTTTTAAATAAACTAGCGTTTCTGGCCCTTTACAGGTCCCATTGACCAGTGACCGTGTATCATTCATCATAATTGTCATCGTTCTTTCCATACGAAGTCATTGAATGCTTTATTCTCGATCTAATTCTAGCACCAATTTCTTGATTGCTTGTCGGTGGATTTTTCCAGTTGCAGTTAGTGGCAACTCCTGCAGAAATACGACACCACCGCTTAGGTGCTTTGTTTCTGTTAAGTTACCTGAAATAAGAAAAATATTATACACATATTATGTTTCACTATATATAGTTCAATTTTCCTAATATTAAAAATAATAATTTATTTAGCAAGACCTAATTACAGAATAGATAACTAAAATTAAGCAAGGTGCAAAAATTAGGCTGTACAATTAATTCTAAGGTAAATGACCACTGACTTCCCATACCAGAAAAATCTGTATTATGGGTGTCAGTCATCCTCCGTGACAGCTTACAACCTTGACAAACAATTTCAAATAAGTGCTGTATTTTATTTTTAAATATAGTTAAATTAATAATATAATATAAATAGATTAAATTAACTTAATTTAGTACGTCTATGTGGTGTGTGTGTGTATGTGGGTGTGTGTGTATGTGAGTGTGTGAGAGTGTGTTACTTATATTACTTTTCGTACAAATCGTGCGCCTGGTGGTAAGCGACACGCCTATTCCTAACAGTTGCAGTGCCACTCAAAGCTTTAAATCACAAAAATGTGAGTGCCACTGCCACTGCGCTCGGCACTCTGAGACATAGCTTGACAAGTCTTATGTGCCTGTGATTTCACCAGAAACGCAGTAATGTTCATATTACTGCTTGGAGGCAGAAATAGTGTACTTCACTGGACGTACTCTTTTACAAGAAAGTTCTACTGCCAGTCTTTAACAATGAATTAAAGCGTCGGGATTGGGCCTAACTACATAACATTAATTCTTTGAACTTTAGTGAAGACGATATTCGCGGATTATCATGTATGTAAGTATATACCGACATGTAGCTACAAATGGTAGAAATTTTATGGGGCGTGGATGATTATTTCCTAACACAAAGTGTACCTATCAATGCACTGTGGTTCTTCATGCATTACAAAAATAAAAACAAATAATGTTTCGCTACACAAGGACACATCTGCAATATCTGAACTTCCAAAGAATATAAATTGAAATACTACACTAACTATTTTCATTGCCAAAACATCCTCCTAAGTGGACACATCCACGCAGTTCTCTTATTAGTAGATCATTCATTGTTACATGTTTGTCACTAAGTTAGCAGTTGAGCCCCTTGTTCATTGATATAAGTACTGCTACCTTGCCTATTGAGCATTACTGCGTTACGGCTTTGAAGAGTAAAGGGTGTTGGTGAAATTACAGGCCTATGAGATAAATTTTCAACTTATGTCTCAGGGTGACGGGCAGTCGCAGTGCCCCTCAGATCTCATCTGGTAACGTAAAAAAAGTATTTCGGTAACTTTTTTATTCATTGTAACTTTTAACTGTTTTGTTATTTCGGTTCAATGCTTGCTAAAATGCAAGACACCTTAATCCATTATTTTTTTTAAAAACAGGAGGTTCTAAATTCGACTGTACTTCTTTTTGGTCTGTATGTACGCGATAACTCCGGTATTTGTGAACCGGTTTTGAAGATTCTTCCTTGTTAGAAAGAGTGTACCTCAGTAGTGATTCCATTTAATTTTAAAGAAAATATTCCACCTCTAAGGGTGGCAAAGTAGGGGATGAATGACTTTTGAGGTCGGTTATTTTAGTACTTTGTAGTGAGATTATTAGTTATTTGGGTGTTACGCCAAAGTAATATGGTTAGTATCGGTCCACTTACAAACAAATTGACAGATTTAAATAAAATACAATAGAAAAAATTGTATAAATCCCGATATTATTATGTAACATAATGAAGACTCGTCTTGCAACTCACCCAAAATCTTAGCGTTTCTATATTTGACATACTCTAGCAAAGGCAAGGTCCCACTGTGCAATAGAGCATACATCTATGTGATTGTGAAAGGTACAAGTGCATGGAGAAGGTCCAAACCTAAAGGTGTAATTTGAAAAACATATGTGGCTTACTTTTCACCAGGTCTTTGATCTCCTGCGCAGTAACCTCATAACCTGGTTTCCGTACGACACAGGCGACAATTAAGTCCCCACATTCCGGATCCGGAATACCCGTTACTGTAACGTCCGATACACCTGGATTCTGGCGTATGACATTTTCCACCTCAGTTGGTGAGACCTTGAACAAATAGGTATGTAACACAATATTTGATAAGTACAGGATCACATACGGTGCTCTGGGGGTCTATTCTCATTCTCCGTCCGAGATTTGTCCGAACCAATTACTGCCAAATAAGTAATACTCGACCAAGTTAAAAGACAATGTATGAAGCTTCATTCGCATTATGCGTCTAATTGTTTCGGACCATCAAGTTTATAGCCAGAAATAGAGACGAAATAAGGGCCCTCTCTGGCAACTCATCAGTTAAATGGTACTTATATCACTTTTAAATATCAACTCTCGTTTGCGCTGAAATCACAAATTAGGAAGCTGAAATAGTACAGCGCCAACAACTGACCTGTGTATACGTCTCCGTATATTCCAAAAATATTTTGTAGTTATTGTAATAAATATAAATAATTATAATAAATACAGAATAGACATAAATCTCTAACTATGGGGGGCTATTCCATTCGGTGGTGTGGGAAAAACAGCAAAACATCTAATTACAAAACAATTGCAATCACATTTCATCAGTAATTAAATATTTAATTATGTATTTTTTTATTTTCGTCCATTATAGCAAATCTCTAGTCAAACTAGTCGATTTGAAGTGAAACAATTGACGACACCTGTCCAATGATTTGAATTCGGGCTTGCCAATCGGAGCGCAGTTATCACCATAATGATTTGGCAGAGTAGTTTTCAAACAAATATTTTGACATTTCTTCTCTACTTCTGGTTATACTCGATGTTTCAGACGGATATTGGACGGAGAACGAGAGTACAGGGCATAATCCCAAGTAAGTAACTGAAATACTTTTGTTATGGAAATCGGAAACAATGAGGGTACTACAAACACCCAGACCCGAGACAATATATAAAAGTAGTTTTTGTACATTGACCCGGCTGAGATCGAAACACTGGGGCCTTAGAGATAGCGATGCACGACTTTGAATATTACTAATACTAATCATTCGAATGGGCAAATTATTCGCCAAAGTCGAATCCAAACACAATCATCCGACTCGAGTCGAATGATTCAATACCGAATGCCAATGCCATTCGGTCGAGTGCACAAGTTGAATGATCATTATATCAGAACACCTCATTCATCATATCTACACCAAAATATCCCTGTTCCCGTCATATTTCCAGTATTTACCATTATGCCAGAGAGGGCTACGTGATCACGAACAGAAATGCTCTATGCAATCTATGTATTAGTACCTACTACTAATTAGTAATGAATGATAATCATTCAAATCTATCGAATATGAAAATTAGTACATTTAGTAGGTTTAACTGCCTCCGTGGCCGAACGGTTACCATGCCGGACTGCCACGCAGAGGTCCCAGGTTCGATTCCTGGGCCGGGAGAAATGTTTGTATGGCCTACATTTATTTCTCTCGTGAGTTTGGGTGTAATTTGTGGTTGTCTATGTGTGTGTCCATGGCACCCGCGACACAGGGTTTCCCTAGTGCGGGGCTATGTTGAGTGTGTGCGTTATTTATTTATTTATTATTATTTAGATTACTAATTTGACATTCGAATGACAGGATTAGCGATTACTAATGAGTCGAATAACGAAATCATTCACAATCGCGCATCGCTACTCGAGATGCAACTCCATGAAAATCGGTGTGCAAGCCACTCCCTACGGAGCTCGACTAATAATTTAATACTTTGTTAGTGTGGTGAAAGGCAAAGAAGACATACTTGATGACTTTTATACTTTAGTAACAATTTCAATCTCTCCGCAAAGAAAAAATTATAATGTTCATCCCTGTACAAAATATCGCCAGTTTTGTACCAGCCATCGTCTGTAAAAGCTTCCTTGGTAGCTGTTGGATTGCCATAGTACCCCTGAAAAATCGAAGAGATTAATAGTACATTGTGTATTAAGGGGGTAAATAAGGACCTACGAACGAGACTCTAGTAGAAGCCCAAAGTCGAAGACTGAGGGCTTTTCGGTGTCGAGTTTCGTAATTCCCCTACCGCCTGTGAAACATACAATATTTTTTATCACACTTGTACGTAAATAGTATGATTGCATACAGGTTTTCTTTTATGATATCAAGTGACAGGACGAACGGCATTTTGCTTTGGGGTAATGCCGCCGATATCAATAGAATCTTTGTCCTGCAGAAACGTGCACTTAGGGCAATTTACAATCTGGGCCCCAAAGTACCTTTGAGAGATAAGTTTAAGGAAATTAACATTCTTACACTAGCCTCACAGTACATTTATGAAAATGTAATTTATATTAAAAGGATTAGTAATTTCTTTATGAGAAATAGTGACAGACATAACATTAATACGAGGAAAAAAAATAAACTAGCATTTCTTGATAGTCGTCTTCACAAAGTCAAAAAATCATTTAAGGGGCAATGTATACGCTTCTATAACAAGATTCCGGTTGATATACAAAATTTGCCTTTCACGAGGTTTAAAACTATAGTGAAACAACAACTTTATACTAAAGGTTATTATACAACTTCTGCGTACTTGGATGACAAAAATCCGTGGTAGTAACCCGTTTAGCTCATGGAGCATGGATATATATTGTAAATGTTGAATGTGTACAAATGTTATTTACAAAGAGCAACCCCTAGAGTTTCTTGCTCATTCTTCTCAGGGGAATCTGCCTTACGAATGAGCGGTAGAGTTTAACCATTGTGACGATATCAAGTGTAATAATGCTTACCTATGAAATAAAGATTATTTTGAATTTGAATTTGAGTCATGCGCCTGATGGTCAACACGCCAGTCCATAATAGTCGCAGTGCCACTCAGAGCTTTAAATTGCGAAGATCTGAGAGGCACTGCCACTGCGCCCATCACCCTGCCAGATAAGTTGACAAGTCCCAAGTGCCTGTAATTTCACCAGCACCCTTATCTTTCGAAACCGGAACACAGTAATGCTGACGATACTTCTTGGCGGCAGAAACAGATAAAGTAAAGGACAGCTAAGGAGCTCTACTGCTACTACTCGGCTAACTTGGCTATAATGCCCCAAATAAAACCCTCAGGCCTTTTGCTTCTCATTACAGCCATGGTCGTGTGTGAAAAAAAGAAAATACCTCATAGTCATAGTATGACTCATCAGTCATACTATTTCGATATTTTCTTTTCATCATATACTTTGTTGTTTTTAACACATTCTTTGTTCAAGTGTTCGTCCAGGTAAGTACTGCCACCACACTTATTTCTGCCGCCAAGCAGTAATGCATTACTGCGTTCCGATTTTAGAATGATTTAAGGGTGCTGGTGAAATTACAGGCACATGGGACTTGTTAACCTATGTCTCAAGATGACAGGCGCAGTGACAGTATTCCTCAGATCTTTGCGATTGAAAACCCTGAGTGACACTGCAACTGTTATGGACAGGCATGTCTCTCACCACCAGATACACGACTACCTTTCTCTAGTATTAAAATATTTAATTAAAAATTATATCCATCGTTATAGGAGTTTGTAATAGTAAATATTTACCTTCCCAAGAGCGTGTCCCGCAATCCATAGCTCGCCCTTAACATTCGGATCCACGATGTCTTCTAAAGTTTCTGGATTAACCAGCTGAAAAAAAACCCAAATTCAGAATATCATAATTAAAAACCAAAGTCTGCTTTCGAAATTCCATAACTTTACTTACGAGGGCTAGCTGAAAAGTAACCTACCTATACTCTTGCCAAATTCGGCATAGAATGTTTAATAACAATACGTCATTTGGCAACCAATGATGGTATAGGAAAAGAACATTTTTTATCAATATTCTTTATTTAGGGTAGTTCTGCCCACGGCGTGTCCACGTAGCCTAGTTAGAATTAGAATTGGTCAGTAACAGGTAATTGAGTTATGTAGAAGTAATACTCACCCGAAAAATTATATTATAAAGTTTGAAAAATACCTTCAATATTATATGATTCTTTAATAAAATAATTAAATTTTTGATACCTCTTAACACTTCCTGCTGATATGATAATGGTAGATGAAAAGAACCAAAATTGTAAGATTTCATTTTGCATGAATATCAATTTTACAAATGAACCTGAATTACTACTCGAACTAGAAATGTTTTCAATCTCTCCCTTCGAATAAAAAAATCATTTGAAATGACAGTTTTACAATTAATTAATTACTGGTAATTTTTACGTTGGTTTCAAATCACTTACTAGCCATTTCAAACTTCTGTTGAATAAAATTCATAACAGGCTTTCAAAATTAATACTTTCAATATCTAGTTTCGAAGAAAAATATTGGAATTATGGTAACTAGAAAACAATCTGTGAATCTGTCATGTCATCGTTTTTAACCGACTTCAAAATAAAAAGGAGGAGGTTACACGTTCGGCTATATGTATGTTTTCCTCAGAGGATGGAAAAAAATAAAGGAAAGGAGCTGCCACGTTCATGTGCCTTCAGGTGAGTTGGTTGAAACAAGAAAAACTTTTGAACCAAAATGGATATTTTGCTCATTTTTCACTGCCAGTAAAGTGAAATCAATAGGATTACCAGGTTTCACTTTGTTATCTACCCTGATAAGATACGAAATAACAAAAACTTACCCTGTACTGAAAATGTCCAAATGGTGTACCACATGAGCGAAGTGTATTTGAAGTAGGGCAAAAAGCAAAGCTCGCAATTTCAGTCATTCCGTAGCCATTAAAAGCTTGAGCATTTGGAGCTAATTTCTGAAAATTGAATGTAATTAATGATTATACCTTGTTTTTTTATAACTAATGATTTCACTTTGAAATTAATTGGTGAGCATGCACAAAACTTTCTAAAGTAACAATGAGCGTTTAACAATAATGGACGTAAACAAAACGTTCCTTAACATTATACTAACATTCCAAGGAACCTAATTCTAGAATTAAACCTTTTTTAATAACATTAATTTATTGAATACTAGCTGTTGCCCACGACTTCGTCTATACTAATTTTCACAGTTTTATTGGATCCCCATACAAACTTTCATTCCCTATTTCACCCATTTAAGATTTATTTTTGTGAAAAAAAGTAGCCTATGGCCTTCTCCCAGATTCCAACTATATTTATACCAAAATTCGTTCAGTCATCAAAGTTACCTACTTTCGCATTTATAATATCAGTTTAGATCATGATGTTTTACTTCTGCTCCGCTACTGCACCGCGAGATTATGCGAGTGTGTGCGTGCGTTCCGCACACAGCGTGCAGCAGACGTGCATACATACAAGCCGCGCTGCTACGTTTGTTTGGCGTTACCATACTTATCTTAGGGCGAGTTCCCATTATGTTGTAACGTTTTATTTATCGTTTGACGACTGTCGCGTCGAGCCTGTTCCCTTATCACGACTATCTGTAGTGACTGTGTCATGGACGTTTGTTTTATGATAACTGTCATGTCTAGTTGTTCCCACAAGATCGTGACGACAATTTATTGGTTCACGGCAGCCGCCTTGTCGTTTGCACGACAGAATCATTTGAAGCTGCGATTATCTGTCGTCACAATTGTATGATGACTTTTTATTTATCGTTAGACGGCTGTCGTTCTAGCTATTTCCATTGTCACGACAGTCTGCCGTAACGTCAAAAAAGTCGTGAACGACGATTAATCGTGTTGTACTATATTATGTGAACAACTTCATTTAAATAGCACTACAAGCATAACATTACAAGCCATGACACTTTAAGCTGCAAGACTATCTATCGTCGCGATATAATGGGGACGCGCCCTTATTATACTATGCTATAGGTCCATGCGCCAATAACATGTGTGAAATCTAAGGATTTAGGTAACCAACTTTGATTTCATTAAGGAGTTGAATAGACGCCGGACTGCCACCAAGGCCAATCTCCTCGAAGGAAGAAAAATCACACTTCTCTCTATCTCCAGGCCTAATGAGGGTCGTCATCAATGTGGGACTCAAAAGCATTAAAGTCGGCTGAAAATCAAACATATTTCCATTTAAAATCAATATTTTTATTAATAAATGTTTATGTATTAATTGTACTCTGCTTAAAGCTTATTCATTATAGATTAATGCAGATTTTCATGATAATTTTACAATAATAATATGAAGAACTATTCAATTGTTATATCAATAAATCAATTTTATTTTTTAACCGTCTTCAAACGAGAAAGAGGATTTTAATTCGACTGTGTTCTTACTAGTGTGTATATTACGCATTTACTCCGACATTTTATGAACTGATTTCCATGTTTCTTTTTCGTTGTAAAGGGAATAAATACCTCAGAAGTGGTCCCATTTACATTTGAAAAAGATATTCTACCTAAATGGATTTCAATAAGACTTGTCACATAGATGTTAATTCCAATGAAAGTAAAATGTTATGGTGACCTAGAGCTAATATGGTGATCGAAATGGCAGACAGATCAGAGGAACTCCTCAACAATGTACTAACGATGGAACGAGTTGTATTTTTTTCGAGTTGACGTCATTGCTGACTCGAGTTGACTCGACTCAGTCTGACAGAGCAATCGCGAGTCGCGAGTAGCGAGAGCGTTGCGGCCGACCGACCGCGACTCGAGCGTGCTCCGAAGGTCGGCCAAACCGACCGAGTGAGAACAAGTACCCGAAGCGCTGTATGAATGAAGTATTAGGCTCGGCGGGGGCGGGTACCGAACTAGCTCGGTTCGGTCGAGTTCATAAAAATATAGCTTGACTTGACTCGTTTTGGGGCAGTAACTCAAGTTAATCGAGTTAAATAACTCTACTCACCCATCGCTACGTGTACAGCAGCTACTTTGTGTTTAGGCTCATATTATTTTTAGACGAGGACTTCCATAATTATTATGCGTTTTAGTTACCGTTGAGGAAGCCAAAGTAACGAACACAGCTAAATCTAACTTTTGAGGTCGATATTTTCGAGAAATTTTAATAATCAATTATACTAAGGTGGTCTCATTAAACTCGTTTTATTTTTTACTTTTCTGCGAAGTATATTTTTATACCTTCCAATAGCAGTAGAGCTGCTTGTGAAAGAGTTCGTCCAGGGAAGTACTGCCGCCAAACAGTAATGTGAGCATTACTTCGTTCCGGTTTTGAAGGCTAAGGGTGCTAGTGTAATTACAGGCACATGAGACTAGTCAACTAATCGTCGGGGGTAGTGCAATTACGCGTAACTAGCATTTGATTAAGAGTTTCAATTTTGTGACCAAATCAAACCCGCGTAAATGTCGTGGCAATCAAGTTAACGTGATTTAAGGGAATCTATTGTTATCAGTGGGTAGACAACAGGAATTAATGCTTACTGTGCATAAATGAAAGTCGTAGTCATTTAAAAAAAAAGTTTAATCCCTCTCCTATAAAATGTTATTTAGAGCAGATACGCGCTTTTTACCAATACTACATACGCGGATTTGCACTATCCCCGACGTAATGTCTCAGGGTGAAAGGTGCCCCTCAGATCTTTGCGATTTAAGGCTCTGAGTGGCACTGCAACTGTTATGGACAGGCGTGTCGCTTAACGTGATCGTGATTGTCCGGTCACTTGGATAATAAAAAAATCCAAATAATTATTGCAAGTATTTCCTATATACCAAAAAAAATTAAATTCTAAAGGGTAAGCACAGTAGATATATGTCTGTGGTGTTGAGCTACTTTTTAGTCGACTGTACCTTATATTTATTGATCATTTCGTAGACGTGTTCTTGAGTGATGTTCGCAGACGACTGAAGTCGAGAATATCTAATGATTGGCGCAAAATTGAAATGCCATATTGCCGAAATCCATTGGAGTGACGAAACTACCATAGTCAAACGCGTTGGTGTTGGGAACTTGGTAAATCTGATCCTATGGAAAATGAGGAGAAAAGTTATTAGTCGTGTACACTGCCACCGTTAGTTGAATGGCGCTTGTGACAAAAACTCAACACCGAGAAAACAATGTTTAATGATGCAATGAACCTGTTCATTGCCAGCCTAAAAATGGACATTATGTGTAGTGGCCAAACCGTATTTAGTTATTTAGTAGTTTTAAGTCAATATATTATTTATTTACGTTTATTATTATGTACGTACATACATAGGATTTATGTACTTTAAATATCTATCACGCGATGTGGCGTAATTGGCCATACATAATGCAATTATTGTCCACATGGCCGGGAACGCGATATCGCGTGATATGTAATTCGGTAAAATAGTTATATATTTTACAAATAAAATCCCTCAAGGCCATCCCCACCACACGAAAATCGCTACTTTCCCTAGTGGCTAATATAAAATAAAATATAAATATTACGCGGCGTTTCGCTGTGGCCGCTATATTGTTCCGCTTAGAAACTTGGTAGCGACACGTCCACGCGATAACGCGTGATCGGCCGTTTGGAGAAAACTCGTATCCCGCGATATCGCGTGAGTGGCAATTAGCACGTTAAAGAAGTGAAATTAAAAGAACCGGGAACCTCCTCATCAAACGCTCACAATGCAAACCGCTAGGGCACCGATGTCGTCGTGGTTGTATGTGGTTTTAGAGAATCATAATTTAACGTAAAGAGCAAACTTTGAGCCGATGCCCTTCACAACTGACATTTTATTACATATTATAGTGATATTTTATTACATATTATATATGTATATACAGTGGTGATCATAGAATTAAGAACGATTAATGACATAAAGCCATTATTCTTTTGCAATAACCATTAAGTGTAAAATTAATTTAAAAATATGCTCTGATGGTGTTAAACAATATTATCTGGATTTACCTATTTTATTTAGCGTAATAATGTAGTTTAAATAATGTTACCTATATTTTTTTTTATTTATTAAATCACAACCACTCAATTACTTCCCGGAGCACTGACTGGGCAAATAATTAAGAACTTAAATATAATTTTCTTCTTTACTGTTTTGAAAATAGAATGCGATAATTCTTCATTACTATTTTTATGTGCTTTGCGCGGCATTGTTGGATTAAGAACGTTTTATGCGATTATTTATAGAAAATAATGAGAAAAAATAAATCTTGTGACGGAGTCAAGAGAAGTTATGATAAAGCTGCGTGGTTGTAAGTGGCCATATCAGAAAATTACAGATCATTTGCATTGCTCAAAAACAAGGTGCATCAGGTCATGAAACATTTTAAAACACACAAGACTATGAATATTCCCCGTTAACCTAAAGAAAGAAAAATGTCTCCACGAGAAGTTTCAGGAATAGTTAATCTCGCTAAACACGACCCATTCAAAGGCTCAAATCAAATAAAAAACGAAGTTTTTGGTGAGAACAATCCTCGCGCAGTATCTGCACGCACCGTTTGAAGACGCTTGGTGGAGGCACAATTATTTGGAAGAGTAACAAGGAAGGTGCCCATGTTGACACCACGACATAGACAAGCCCGACTTGCGTTTGCAAGGAAGTATGAACACTGGACAGAGGCGCAGTGGAAGTACGTACTTTTCTCGGATGAAACTAAAATGAACAGACTATGCTCTGATGGCAAGCAGTACGTACGCCGACCTAGAATACGTCATTTAATCCAAAATACACGAAAAAGACGGTGAAGCACGGTGGTGGAAACATTAAGATTTGGGGTTGCTTTTCTGGTTATGGCGTAGGCCCTATACCAATACAAACACATCCGTGAAGAATGTATGCTACCGTACGCTGATGATAATCTCCCGGTAATTTGGACATTCCAGCATGACAATGACCCGAAACATACGGCCTACTCTGTTTGAAGATTCCTCGACAGCCAACTGGTTACTGTGTTGGACTGGCCACCTAACAGCCCAGATCTTAATTAAATAGAGCATCTTTGGTGTCAAGTCAAAAAGAAATTGGCAAACAGACAGTGTAGTAACGTGAACGATTTGTACGATGCGTTTTTAGAAGAATGGAACTCTATTTCACACGAAAACTGCAAAAAGCTAATAGAGTCGATGCCGCGCCGCTGCCACGCCGTTATCCACAGTCGTAAACAGACTACTAAATATTAAATTCCTTTTTTTATTTATCATTATACTATTAAGAAAACGTTGTTAAACTATATCACTTCTCAAATTATTGAAATATAGTGAATACTACAGTCAAGTCCCTACCTTGTTCTTAATTGTTTGTCCAGCCTCCATCCATTTCAGTTTAAATAAAATTAAAATCATTTTCATTTTAAGAGTAGTTTCAAATATTTTTTTTTTTAATTTTAGATTTTGTAAGCCCGGAATGTGAACTAGCTAGCACTATAGTCAATATTTTCCAGTAAGGGTTATTACGTTTATAATGAACATTTGTATATCAAACTTGTAGTAGCAGTAGAGCTCCTTGTGAAAGAGCTCGTCCAGGGAAGTACTGCCACCTTACCTATTTCTGCCGCCAAGCAGTAATGGTCACATTACTGTGTTCCGGTTGTGAAGGGTAAGGGTGCTGGTGAAATTACAGGCACATGAGACTTGTCAACTTATGTCTCAGGGTGACGGGCGCAGTGGCAGTGCCCCCAAGATCTTTGTAATTTAAAGCTCTTGGTGGCACTGCAACTGTTATGGGCAGGCGTGTAGCTTACCATCAGGCACACGACTTGTTCGTCCCGTTACTTAATGTCATAAAAAAAAAAAAAAAAAAAAAAAACTGGTGCTGTATTGTGAAGCGTTCTTAATTCTATGACCACCACTGTGTGTATATATATCAGTAGCGAGGCTTCCATATAAAGGTAGTCCACAGATCCGTTGCGCACGTGATAGCGTGATAACTAACACCTTAAAACATGTCAGTGCTTAAAACTAACCCTTGAGTTTTAGAAATAGTGCTATTAGTTTCATTTGTCTATCCTGTTATTTTTAAATCACTTGTAACATTTTTTTTGTTACTTTAATGCTGGCATAATTGATTAAAACTGAATTATGTTTTTGTTAGTGATTCTAGTTTTAATTGCTTAGGTTTATTGTTATACTGTTCATTGATATTTTGTTTTACCCTATATTAAAATAAAACTTGGTTTACTAAAATTCTGCTTTTGAATTCTTTAGATAATTGACTTCCCTATATAATAGAGTTTAGTATTTTAGTAATAATTCAGGGATTATATATCACACGCACCGGACGGATCGCATCAAACGGCTCCGTTTGTGGCAGTGCGTCCACTGTATCCGCAGCAATCGGATTGCCGACGCCACTTTTCGTAGCGTGCGGAGGAATATAAGTTGTGTGTGCGAGACAATGGATTTGGAAAGTTATGAAGAAGAATTTGTCGTTGTGGCTTATTTGTTGGCAGAAGAAGAAGGAAGAGAGAAAAAAGGAAACGTGATATCCGGAGACATGATATATATTAAGAAAAGATCGCAACATGGAAAATGATTTGCTAAACTACGATGTAAAATTCTTCCAGTATTTTCGTATATCTCGTGCTATGCGGTGGCGCGTGCGCGTTGTGCGTCCACTGATACACAATCCGTATGACGTCGCCGGCAAGCATCAGAAAAATTTCCCCTCCCAACCAACTGCGCCGGCATTACCGACAGGCCGGTGCGTGCGGTCCGTGCGATGCGGATCATTAGACGCAGTTGTATGAACTTCTATACATAGAATGCTAAAATCCGTATATTGCGATCCGTCCGATGCGTGCGTTGCGAATCTGTGGTGTGTGTAAGGTAGGCACCTTAACTCGACTCCCACCGGCGCTTGCCTAAAACTTTCCGCGTACCTATTACCAGTGGCGGCGCGCATACCCCACCACTGACAAAACGTTTATACCAAATATTTCACTATTAAACGCGTAATAACTTGTCCCGATGCATCTCAACCAATCAGCTACGCGTTCCTATCAAAACATACGCACACACTCGCGAAAATCATCAAACTAAAAAAACAAAGCAAAAAAACATCTACAGAAATGGCGGCCGGGAAGCTGGAATAATTAGAGTTATTGTCGAATAGCGGTCACTTAATTTAAACTAGACAATATCTGATTCCAACAAATTATAGTTTAATTTGTTTTAACATCAGAATCGTTGGCAGATATAAAACTTTATTAAAATAATGTAACAAAATTATTATAATAGCAAATTAATACAAAATATGGTTAATTTCTATTTTATAAACGTTAACGATAAATAGTGTTACCGATGTATCTATATTTAATCGGGTGTTTCTTTTTAATAAGACTACGTAAAAATGCATGCAGAAGGTCATGGTAATACGTAGTAATTAAAATAGCACCATTTAGCATTCATGAGTTTGTTTACAAACTTTCGTATCGCGACGGGCAGCTTAAACTGTAAAATTTATTTAAAAGCTATGATTATTTTATGTGTAGAATAAGTTAACCAGTGAACTAGTATCTTGTGTGCTAATAATTTGTTTAAATATGTCAAAGTCGCTTTTTTAATGGGAAAATATTTTTTTGTTTATGTAAGTGCTTTTTGTTTTTTCAAAAAGTTAAAGCTTCGGCTCTACCAAGGCAAATTACACCTCGCTACTGAAACACACAAACACACACAGCGTAGTCATAATAAAGTATAACATCATATCATATATTTAAAGGCACGGGTACAGTATTATCTCCCTCTTTGGATGCCATTCTCATTTACTCAGATCGTGGGTTATCGGGCGAGGAGGTTAAAACACAATTGGTCACACTATTGATTTATAATCACCTTCCTAATCGAGTACAATGAGATTTTACAAAAATAAGCTTCGTATTCCACTAATTGATACTTAATTTAACGATTTAGTAAGACGTTCCGCACAATACGTGATGCTAGGACAGGATGTCGACGGATGATTGTTCTCCTTTCTTTTCTGACGTGAGAACTCGCGCCCTAACTTTTATCGTGACAGGTGACAGTTGATGCTATCTATTTGAATTGCACCAGTGCTGTGCGTTACGTCACAGTGAGACAGGTAGCACATCTCACTCTAATAGACACAAACTAATCGACGCGCCGTCATATTTTAAATACCCACTATTTTGAATATTGAGTTCTGAGCGTTACTTTTTTTTATTTAATTTATTTGTGGCAACGAACAGCCATACATGAAACAGTAATTATTTACATATATTCCCCTTAAAAATAGACCTGTAGTGCCAGCAATTAAGTAACAATTATAATAACTTAAACGGCTATGACATGGTATTTTGTGTAATTATTTGTAATGATAACATTCTTGTTTTAAATGTTACTAGAATTTTACAAGACGGAGTATAATAATAGTACTTATTAAATGTCATTTACAATTTGTAGCTTATTATTACCTTGTATGGATGGGCCCCAGTGTGCGTCGTACACTTTGAACATTAACTAAGATAATTAAGAAGTTTATCTAAATTTGTCCAACGATGGCAAAGCAATTCCTACAATTGACACAAATTTTTAACGTATGAATAAAATATCTTGGTGTACTCAAACTATTGATTACATACCATGAATAAGGTCCAGTAATCGCTATGCACCTATGAGAAATAGCGATTTGTTTAGGAAGCCCCAATGTTCCACTTGTAGCAATAAGAAAGGCCAAGGTTTCCTCAGGATCGAAATCTGTGGCTCTGAAATTTATAGTACAATAGATAAATCGTTGAGAGAAAAAGAAACAACCATCGAAAATACGTGATTATTTATAAATAAACTAAAATAACTACTAATACAAAAAACGTATTAAACAATTGGTGCATATTTGAATGATGAAACAATAACCGCATAAATAATAACCATATAATAACAATAATTCTCTTTAAACATTCATATGACATAGGTTTCATGTTTTTTATAATTATTGACATTTACAATTATTCAGCTGTTTTTGACATACTTTAATTTATCTTCTTTTATTTTTTTTCCATGCTCTAAGGTCGAGGTGAAGTTTAATTCGAAATGAAATATCAATAGCAAACAATTTTAACAAATTTCAACGATATGATAGTTGGGACCGACAAACTAGGTCAATGAATTAAAAAAAAACTACGGTTGCGTGTACAGTATGGTGCAGATAGATAAACTACTATTATATCACGTTGTTGACAAAATAACACTATCATAATTTACAAACATTTGTAGGAATATTTATTGTTTTCTTCAAACATTATTTTATCCAATTTTGATTATAAATTAAGTTAAGTTATTATCATTGTAGTGTCCTTACACGTTTCATGTGCTGGAATATTATTACGTAAAACCTCTTTTAATCCACATGAAACAATGAATAGAGAATTATCTCAACTGCCTTACAAACACATTCTCATAATAAATAGATTTTAAGACTTTCGTGGTTGTTCACTAACTGACTTTGGGTAGTCAACCCGTGACCATGGAGCGTGCAACCGTTCCGAACTTAAAACTGTTCTCGTGCTATTTATTTTATTGAATATCACAACCTTTTACTACCATATATAGGATTATATATCTCAAGGCGACAGACGCAGTTTAAATCGCAAAGCCTCTCAGATCTTTGCGATTTAAAGCTCAGAGCTGTGCTGCAACTGTTATGGACTGGCGTGTCGCTTACTACCAGGCGCGCGACTTATTCGTCCCGTCACTTGGTAGCGCAAAAAAAAACATTATATTCCAAAGACTTGGATATCGTTGTGATATTCATATATTTTTGTAGATTGTATCGAACAACACAAATCAACAACCTTCGTGCTGACTGAACAAATATAAAGATCTATAACAAGCCCATGAAGAAAAGCGTAAGATCTGCCTTGGTCTTTAGCTCAGTTAATAAGAGCGGTTACTCCGGTGTGGCAATAGATAATAATAATAACGCACACACTCATAGCCCCGCACTAGTGAAACCCTGTATCGCAGATGGCATGGACACACACATAGACAACCACAAATTACCCCAAACTCACGAGAGAAACAAAATGAAATGCAGGTCACACAAATACTTCTCCCGGCCCGGAAATCGTACCCGGGACCTCTGCGTGGCAGTGGAGCACGGTAACCCTTCAGCCACGGAGGCAGTTCTTTTGATTAAACAAAAGACAAACATATGTGCAAGTCATCATATAGTATATAACCAGAAATAGAGACGAAATGTCATTTAATTTGTTTGAAAACTATATTCAACTAAATGCGGCGATAACTGCGCTCCGATTGGCCAGCCCGAATTCGAAACGATTGACGGGTGTCGTCAATTGTTTCACTTCAAATCGATCGGTTTAACTTGAGCTTTGCTATAATGGAAGAAAATTGAAAAATTATATATTTAATTACCGATGAAATGTGATTCAGTTTGTTTTGTAATTAGATGTTTTTCTGTTTTTGCCACACCACCGAATGGAATAGCCCTCCGTTGTTAGATATATTATCTTTATTACAATAAATACAGAATATTTTTGGAATATACGGAGACGTACATACAGGTCAGTTGTTGGCGCTGTACTATTTCAGCTTTATAATTTGTGATTTCAGTGCAAACGAGAGTCGATATTTAAAAGTGATATAAGGCCCATTTGCCTGATACCAGGGATGGATAGTCCTAATTTCGTCTCTATTTCAGGTTATATACTCGATAGTGTAAGTCGATACATTGTCACCCTTAAATACAATTTGATAGACGGACTGATAGGTTAATGCCGATGATATGCGTGAGAAGAAAACACAGAAAAATTACTTCCGTGGAAGAAAACCAGTCTTACCTAAACTTATTAACATCGCAATCTTTCTCCGAATGTTTCAACAATAATTCATTGAAACTGCAAAAATTTTCACCATGAGAGTCATCACCAAAAGTAATGATTTGAGTGTCCAATTTTAGGTTGTCGATGGCTGCAACAACGTCCGCAGCTCTCTCACTTTGGCAAAATACCAGTTTCGGTTTATCAACAGCAAATGTATCTTGGAGCTCCTCTGAAACACAGATTGATTTTTATTGAGGAACCAATACCTTATTTCTGATTAATAAAGAAATATTTTTATATTTAGGGAATCTTGACTATCTAATTTGAAACTCAGCATGACGTTAAGGTTAAAAGGTCAAATCTTTTACTGTTTCTAAAGCCCATTAAGTGTCTTCAAAAAATTCGACTTCCAAGTTGCACTATTAAGAGGAGATTCTGCTGTCAAAAATGTAGTGACCCTAATACGTTTTTTACTACGATTTCATCAAAAATTTGCAATACTATAAGAATCGATTTAAAACTATGTGAATAAATTGACTGGTACTAGTCTTGTACTCACTGACAGTCAGAGTCCTGTCGATTGGTGCAACAACTATCCCAAGATAGAGTGCAGCGTAATATGGTACGCATAAGTCGATGTGGTTAGGGGCCATAAGCACTATGATATCACCGCGGTGCAACCCCAACTTCCGTAGCGCATTCGCACACTGCACGCTTCTTTTCAGCACAGACCCGCATGTTTCAGATTCTCCAGTGGCAGCATCAATCTGAAAATATAAGCTAAGATTATAAGCTAAGAACAGTTACACTGGACCAATTATATCAATTTTTTTTTATACGAGATGACGGGATGAACTAGTTGTGGGCATGGTGGTATGCGACACGCCTGTCCAACAGTGCTACTCGGAGCTTTAAATCGCAAAAATCTGAGGGGCTCTGCCACTACGCCTGTCCCCCTGAAACATTAGTTGACAAGTCCCATGTGCCTGTAATTTTACCAGCACCCCTAACCCTTCAAAACCGGAACGCAGTACAGTTTGGCGGCAGAAATAGGTAAGGTGGCAGTACTTCCCTGGACGAACTCCTTCACAAGGAGCTCCACTGCTACTACGTAGTTTGAATGTAGTGTAAATAGATTCGACCAATTTGTTTAGATACAGATCTTCGGGTTTCCATCGTAGTTGTGGAACGTGACACGTGATTGTACGGCTGATTTAACCATACCTATTTCTGCCGCTAAGCAATAATGTGAGCATTACTGCATTTCAATTTTGAAGAGTAAGGCTGCTGGTGAAATTAGAAGCACATGGGACTTGTCAACTTATGTCTCAGGGTGATGGGCGCAGTGGCAATGCCCCTCAGATCTTTGTGACTTAAAACTCTGAGTGGCACTGCTACTGTTATGAACAGGCGTGTCGCTTACCACCGGGCGCAGCTTATTCGTCTTGTCACTTGGTATCATTAAAAAACTTTCACGTGTCTGACAGTGGAGATATAAAAATTGTCGAATGTGTTACGTCACCGGCTTGTCTCATCTTTTTTAATATAATATAGACAAACGTAATCATCTCATCTAATGTTCAAAGCGATAATGTACCTAACTAACGGTGTAGTGCACTATTGTCAAAAACTGCGTTTTCACTCAAACCTTGAACAGCCCTAAATTGTAACTTTGAAATCATCATCATCATCATTATATCAGCCGGAAGACGTCCACGGCTGAACATAGGCCTCCACCAAAGATTGCCAGACTAGCCGGTCGGACTCAACGTGCATCCATCGACTTCCCGCCGCCCTTACCAGGTCATCCCTCCATCTAGTAGGGAGCCGTCGTGGTCTCCATTCGAGAACCTTTCTGCCCAAACGGCCGTCAGTTCTACGAGCTATGCGCCCTGTCACTTCAACTTGCTAATTCTTTGGGCTATGTCGGTGACTTTCGTTCTTCTACGGATCTCCTCATTTCTGATTAAATCACGTCGAAAAATGCCGAGCATTGCTCGCTTAATGGCTCGTTGCGTGGCTTTGAGCTTTTTTATGAGGCACATAGTAAGTGACCACGTCTCAGAGCCGTAGATCCTCGCTCGCAACACGCACTGCTCGAAGATTTTTGTCTACCCGGAGCTTCCCGAAAGCTGCCCAACCGAGTCGGATTCGACGATTGACCTCTTCCTCGAAACTGGGTCTGCCTAATTTGACGGTTTGTCCGAGGTAGATCGTGAACAACTTCGAGAGTAGAGGTTCCCACTGTTATAGGGGTGGGTACAAACATGGACATTCGACATAAGTTTCGTCTTGTCCATGTTCATTTTTAGACCCACCTGCTGGGAAACTCTATTGAGATCACCAAGCATGGCGCCAAGCTCTTCCAACGATTCTGCTATGAGCACGATATCGTCAGCAAATCGAAGGTGAGTGATGTACTAGCCATTGATGTTGATGCCGAATCCTTTCCAGTCCAGTAACTTGAAAGCATCTTCCAATGCAGTGGTGAACAGTTTCGGAGAAATAACGTCTCCCTGTCGCACCCCTCTTTGCAATTGGATAGGCCTTGTGCACTGGTCCTGGAGTCAAACTGACATAGTGGCGTTTCTGTACAAACACTTTAACACTTCGATATATCGATATTCAATGTGGCACCGTTGTAGAGACTGTAGCACCGCCCAAATCTCAATCTAATCAAAGGCTTTTTCATAGACCACAAACGCTAAGCATTATAGCCGGTTATACTCCTCGATCTTCTGTATAACCTGTCGCAGCGTGTGGATGTGGTCTATGGTATTTTAGCCTTTTCGGATACCGGCTTGTTCGGGGGGCTGGAAGTCACCAAATCTGCACGCGAGAGGATTCGTGATGACTTGTGAAAACAGCTTATAAACGTGGCTTGAAAGCAAGATGGCCCTGTAGATCTTCAATTACGGTATTATCTCCCTTTTTGAAGAAGAGTATCACCACGCTTTTATTCCACTCTTCTGGCGTGTGATCTTCGAGTAAGACTGAATTAAAGAGTCTCTAAAGGAAAAGTATTAAAAGTAGTACCGGTGGTGTTCCACCAGCTTTCAGAAGCTTCGATGTGATTCTGTCTTCACCCGGTGCCTTGTTGTTTTTTAGCTGTTTCAGAGCAATCCTAATCTCGTACTGGCTGAACTTTCAAATACAAATACGTAAAGCTAACGTAATTTTCGAACTTCGCAATGAAAAATATGCGAAAAGGAATTTTTAAAACAACACTCACTCTTGAAACAAACTCAACGTACAACCAAGAGCATCAAACTTGCTATTTTGTAATTTAGGTCGTTCTTATCATACGTGACGTGCTAATGAGCCAGTACAAGACCTAACAAAAGAGCGTTTAGAGAATTTCAACAATATAAATTTGCTTACTTGTAATACGAAATCCGGGGCATCTTTGAGCCCGCGCAGTATGAGTTTCCCAAGGTGGTGGCGGTCAGAAGGTATTCTCGTCTCAGCGACTACTCGTGCGCTCAGCTCATTCATGTACAGGTGCACTGCGTCGTTCTGTCTTCTTTGGGGATACATGTTTCTACAAATGATGATGACAAAAACAAATAAAATGAATAGTGATACAAATACTTAACAAATAAATGCTTATTACAATTTATGTACTTTACGCCCACAGATATAGATAACGTTGTAGTAAATTAAGTCAAGTTGTCTTATTTAAAGCTTGAACAGTCGCAATTGACATTGACAATTTAACCTCTAAGCATTAGTAACAATTTCATACGCCATCTATCGACCACGCGCTTGTACTTACACAAAGTCAAATAAAGTTAAGTATAAATTAGAATACAGATCAGTCATAAGTTATTTTGCAATATATAATTACGTCGTTATTGTAAAAATATTCATTACATAGTATTTTAGGGTCAAAATCGGAATAGCATAAATAGTGAACGTATTAGGTAAATTATGCAATAATTCGATCGTTACATCCATTGACTTACAAAGAAATGGACGGGTCTAATACAAAAACCACGAAAAAAATGTCGTTCGTTTTAGCGGAATAACTCTAAAACTAAAGGGATAAAAAATAACCGTAGTGACAGTTGTCGATCATGCATAAATATAATTAATTATCTAATTTTTATCCTAATAACCTGTAGCATTTCGAGGATGAATCGAAAAAATGTGAAAATTAGGTCATTTCGTGTTTCTTATCTATCGAGGAAAGTTTATTGTTTTATGTTTCTGATTAGTGTCTATGCTTGAATATATCGTGTGGTGTTCTTCTTCTTCTTCTTCCCCTTCCCCTTCCCCTTCCCCTTCCCCTTCTCCTTCTTCTTCGTAATTTTCGACAAAATTAAAAGACAAGTATCAGGTCAAGTATTGCTTATTTGTCAGTAATTGGATGGATGTCGGGCGGAGATCGAGAGTAGACCCCCTGCCTCGGGCTAAGAAGCCTCGAGACTCGTGAATACTTTCCTTTCAATTATTCAAAGGTTAGCTGGAAGAAATCTCTTTATGGGCTCTTTATAAACTCGCCTTTGTACAATAACGTTCTATTTCTTTGTTAAACGTTTGTAATTTGTTTGTGTTGTACAATAAAATGTTTACATACATACATCCTTGTTTATATAAGTACTTAAGTGATATCCCGAATCCCGAAGAAATCCAGGACAAAAAATATTGTCCTAAGGAATGCTCCACTTTCTGTATCTATTCCTCGAAGTTTAGGTAAAAATAGTCTACCTATTCCGATTATTATATTCACCTTTATCACAAAATTACCGAGGACCGATGTGTGTCAAATCTCTCCGCCTGTTCTTATTTTATTCATAATATTAATTTACGGCGCGCGGATTGCGGGATGCGAGAAGGCGGATTGAAAATAAATAAAATAATTTAAAAAACGGCTTACAAGGGGTTCTAGGTCTCGTTTCGCTGATATTATATTAAGAACTCAATTTCGCTAAACATGGGGATTACGTTTGTCATGATAACGAGGCCAGGATAAGTCAAGAAAGTTTCTGAGAACGGATTCTTTGTATTCATTATTTTGAAATTTGGTATGAGTGTTCAAAGAAAGTTATAATTATTAATACAAACATCGAACACCTTGCCTATCCGTATGACGAAATACTTTCATAGATTCCTCATAGATAGCGTTACTCAAAAAAGTTGTTGAAAACGAAATACAAAATCCAGTTGGCACAGCGTCTGGCATGGTTTGCTAGAAAATCGGTTAAAATCCGGTCGGATTTTTCTAAGTGTTCGATCTTTGTATTAATCATTATAACAAACTAGTGGAATAATTTCACAAAAAATAAATGAATATCAATTCTGTACAAATTTAATTGAAAGAAAGTGATAAAATACGCAATTGTTGCCGTTAACTGCCTCATTTCTTTATTCCTTTTATAATAAACTTTAATACACGTTAAATAAAAATAACTTTTTTATAAAAAGACCGACCTCCAAAAAAGTTTATGGAATTACAAAGTTTTATTGAAATTGGTTAACGGACAATCCAATAAACCTTAGAGTGTGTCTATTATATATTAAAAAATAAAAAATGTCCATCAGGTAAGATGAAGGTCAAATGCATACTTATTTTTTATTTAAAAATACGCCTCCTATGGAACACGACTCAAGATAGCTCCATTGAATACCGTGGAAAGATACACGGATAATGTGCAAAAAAGGCGGGAGCCTAGCATGGATAAATTAATTGATTTTCCTTTGTCTCCCAGTCTCACTTCTGTAGCTGAATCATTGTCTTACAGTATTAAGAATGAGATATGTAGCGAAATTCAAATAACATTTTATTAATGATTTATTAGAACCATAAAGTATTTAGCACGAATAGTAGTCTACGTTGGCAAATAGTAAATGGGTTAAAAATTGTACAATTATTAACAAACGTTTCCTAAAATCATTTATTAATATAAATTACAATAATATTTCGCTATTACATTGACAAACAAACATTGTTTAAGATTATGGCATTTAATACTGAAAATGCGAGATGGCTCGTATTATGTGTCCGGAAGCATGTATTAGACATGAGAACACAATCTCAAGTTAAGTGTTAGGACCAGCTCAAATCGGCGGACGGCGAGGGAGAACATTGAAGAGGATCTTTTGCCCGCCACATTGATGTGAAATAACCCTTACGATACCGCGAGTGTCCGCCAGCGTACCCAAACTCCACTGGAATGCCGCGGTATCCGCCGAAATGTGACCGGTCGCTCAGATTTGAATTCCTTCTACTAGCAACTACGCAGTCAAAAATTCCACGATGTATTCAGGCAAACTCTGGCGCACACTGGTGGACTCCGGCGCATACTGGTGGATTTCGTCGCATACCGGGGCGATATTCACTAGCATGCTCTTCAGTGCGGCAAAGAGAAAAGCGTTGCGGCTGACTCAGAAGACTGTTTCAGAGCATTGAAATTCAATTAATTTCATTAAATATTAACAAATAATATTCTTACACTTTTGTGAAATTACTCCACTACTTTTTATAATTATACAAAGATCTTTAACAAACACAAAGGAATTCGTAAGTTCTGCTGTCTCATCTATAGCCAGTTGGGAGAGAGTCTCCCACATTTCACAGACAGATCAGACAGATCCTCGATTTAATGAAAGGCCTTCTTGTGGTAAACATTATATTGAATTGAATTAAACAAAAGAATGCTTTATTCTCGTCCTAATTCTAGCACCAACTTCTTGATTGCTTGTCGGTGTATTTTCCCACTTGCAGTTAGTGGCAGCTCCTTAATAAATATGACACCACCGCTTAGGTGTTTTGTTTCGGCTAAGTTATCTGAAATAAGAAAAAATATTATTTACTGTGCAGTACACTTTCCAAAAATGACTAAAACACCGCTATTAGGCTTAACTACAGACTGGAAAGTTTCCTACTCGTACATGTCAGAAAGATTTCACATAACTATTCGTAGACGTATGACGTCTCCAGCCTGCACTTTGGGCCAGCGGCTAAGGCGATCATGCCTCTTCACATTATAGTATAATAAACCAAGTAGAGTAATTCCATAGAAACGTCGCAGCGTGACTTGCATGTGTAGACGCCCGCCGCGCGCCGAGCACGGACGCACACATTCGCATAAACTCACGGTACAGTCACGTTGCATGGCACGCGTAGCCACACGGGCCGTTCATTATAGAGTTGAAGAGTTCACTCGGTTTTTAAAAAGTTACATCAAACAGTGGACGTGTTTATTGTTGTTTGATTTAGAATTGTTCAGCATCTCATTTCTTAGACTTACTACCATAATCGAGATACGAATCTGCAATGCTGGCAAGAAAATCTCAATACGTAAGTACTGCATTCAACAAAGGTTATTCTGATATAGCACCAGTATACCTACTGAGATGAACATCGTATTTTTTCAAATTTTATTTACAACATGTAGGTACTCGTAGAACTAAAATAATGATGTGACAACCCTACTTGTCTTATTATACTCTGTTAACATTCTTTAGCTGGGACATATAAGTCGATCACGAGTGTGTGTGTAGTTTGTGAGCAACTCCAGTGTTCGTGGCATATCGTAACAAACACTGTTAACATCGAGAATATTATATACTCGACGACCGCTAAAGTCGATTGGCGGTTTTTACTTTTAGACCTAACCCAAGACAAAATAAAACGTGAAAATCAACAAAAATTATATAACTAACACATTCACAATTATTTGTTACCCATAAAATAGAGCACCTATTACCAATAATAGGTTAAAAATTATTTTGAATGTAATATAGTTCGTTTCAATCTAGAAATTTGTAGTTGGCAGTACAACTGGCCATCGCTGAACTATCTATGATAGGGTTAGTGACTTGTTTGTTTACTTCTGCTGTATTTATAATGGGATTGAAATACACTGTAATACATTAAGTTTTATCACTATCCTGTACAATTTATTGAAACAAATTGAGCGTTTATATTTGCTAAGCTACTTGAATACGTGAAAATCTTCGGATGTGACCAAAATCAATAAGGCAATTCGTTAAAAAAATATGACTTACTTTTTACCAAGTCTTTGATCTCCTGCGCAGTAACCTCATGACCTGGTTTCCGTACGACACATGCGACAATTAATTCGCCATATTCTGGGTCCGGAATACCCGTTACTGCTACGTCCGATACACCTGGATTCTGACGTATGACGTTTTCCAATTCAGTTGGTGAGACCTTGAATAAATTATGCAATAAAGTATATGAGTATTTGATATTAAATGCTTTTATAATTAGGAAATAGGTATATCAAAATCCGTTGAGAAATAAAATAGGTCACAGCCATTTAGAAAGTAACGGCTATATTTTTGTCACATCACTCTTCAGTGGAACCACACAAGCTCAATACTTAGGACTATTTTAGAAAAAAGAGACTGGACAAATAAAGTCAAAATTTATTAAAAATGTACATTTGCAAGCCTTTAGGAACAATACTCTTCAGTGGCACCCTAAACTACGCTTTAAGAACTATGTAGTTTGCTGAAAATAGACTATTAATATCTCTTACTTGAGATAATCTTAAAACAAACTTCATATCCATGTGCAGCATGTTCATATCCTACAGTAGCGTACCTATATATTTAGTAATAAATTATAACTATGCCAGTTACTCCTAGTTATTGATCTTTTTAAGTCTGACTTTCTTTCCAACTAAGGCGAATTAAAACGGAGGGTACCTAGATGGTGTTTTTCAAACAGAACTCTGTATCTTTGAAATTGAATCAGCAGTGCACACTGCGTCTTTGCATTGATTGGTAGGTCGAAGATATCTGGCCAGATGCTTATCGGTGTAACTTTAACACCAGTCTGACATTCCAAGTGAACAAAATGAAATCCAATACACATTTCCGAATTTGGGAGTTTCAAGCTCTGAAGTTCAAATAGGGTTAGATAAATCTCATTCGGTATTTCAGTCTGAACGTCAAACTGACTTCAAGTTGGGTGATTAGTAAACTTTGACTGACCTTCCAAAAAGTAAAAATACTTAACAAATATAATGATTACAAAAACGCTCATACTTGATGATTTTTATACTTTAGTAGCAACTTCAGTTTTTCCGAAAAGTAAAAATTGTAATGTTCGTCTCTGTAGAAAATATCACCAGTCCGGTACCAGCCATCCTCTGTAAAAGCTTCCTTGGTGGCTGTTGGATTGCCGTAGTACCCCTGAAAAGAACAGATTAAATTAAAAGCGATTAAGTTACGAGGTTCAGCACCTCATGCTGTTACACATTCAGATTTTTTCCTGATGTTCCGCAAAAAAGCCGTGGTAGGCTAATGGTTTGATCTACTACCTCAAGCAGAGGTAGGATCCGGGCTTGCATCACTGAGTTTTCGAAATTTATGTGCGAAATTTAATTTTAAATTTGCCTTGAGCTTTACAATGAAAGAAAACATCATGTAAAGACGCTGAAAGACCAGCCCCCGTAGCATGCCACCTCGATAAAGCTATTATATCCACATTTGGCTGTCAAATTCGAGTGATTCATTACATTCGAGTGATTCCGCATTTTAAAATTTTATCACAGTAGCGAACATGGCGAGCACCGTGACGTCACATTTTTATGTCATCGTAAGCGCCGGCGAACAATGACAGCAAAAGATTAACTCATTGCCAAACATGGGTGCAAAGTCACAGCTGATTTTAAAACATTTGCGTAGTAATTTTATCGACTCTAAAATTTAACTAAAACACACGCTACTCCGACAATATGTTACATCGATGTGATTTTTCTCAGATATTACTCTACTCCGACAATATATTACTTCGACATGATTTTACTCAATCACTACTTTACTTCGACAACACAGACGAGATGTTTCTTTAAAAAAATGTTTGTACTTAGATACGAAAAATCATCATTACAAACCCATGTAGGAAATGGTTTCTTATTATATATCGATCAATATCAACTGCCTCTGTGGCCGAACGGTTACCATACGGAACTGCCACGCAGAGGTCCCAGGTTCAATTCCCGGGCCGGGAAAAATATTTGTATGGCCTACATTTACTTCTTTCGTGAGTTTGGGTGTAATTTGTGGTTATCTATGTGTGTCCATGGCACCGCGACACAGGGTTTCCCTAGTGTGGGCTATGTTGAGTGTGTGCATTGTGCGTGTGTATAACAAAAAAAAACATATATTTGAAAATTTGTTTTATTAGTCATATAAAGTGTAACAAAAAACCATTAAATTAAAATACGATTATAATATATACATTATTTGTATGTATGTACGTACATGAAAGAATATTTTTTTATTCGGGGGTCTAAAATTGTATATATTGTGGTGTTTTGTAAAAAGGGCTCTCAAAGGCTGGCAACGCATAGGCAGCTCATGTGATGTTGCAAATGTCCATGGGCGACGATGACCACCTCCTATGAAGTGACTCGTCAGCTCGTTTGCCTCCTTCTTTATATAAAAAAAGCGCCGTAACGGACGTAAATATTTTAAAACAGTCGTGATAAACTAAAACATGCTCCCCAGAAAATTTGTTCAAAATGGCGCTTTCGCCCTTTCTACAAAACACCGACGATATTGGCTTGTTTTAGGCCCTCAATAAAAAAATATTATTTCATGTATTTATGTAAATAGTGTATTTTATTATATTTTAATTTAATAGTTTTTCGTTTGTTACACTTTATGTAATTAACAATAGCCTAGGTAGCACAGTAGGCAGCGCGTAAGGCTTCATATAAGTATGATTTTGTTTTTTTTTTTGTTATATTGATCGATATATAATAAGAAACCATTTCCTACATGGGTTTGTAACGATGATTTTTCTTATCTGAGTACAAAGATTTTTTTAAGAAACATCTCGTCTGTGTTGTGAAGTAGCGATGTATCTGAGTAAAATCATATCGACGTAACACGTTGTCGGAGTAGCCTGTGTCGAAGTTCAATTTTAGAGTCAATTTTATCAACGTGAAAATTAAACGCGACAAACGAGATAAAAATAATTTTTACTGTTTCAGGGTTTTCGCGGCGATGATTGAACGACAAAGCTAGCTTATACGCAATTTCATATCGTTGTCCTTGTTCTTCAAAATGTATAACAATAGTTTATTACCAAATAAGTAAATGAAGCTTTATAGGAAATAAACCAATTTTTCCGGATTTAAATCGCGTATATTTGTTTTTTCAAACTAACCGACATTTCGGGCCCTTTACAGGTCCCATGGACACGGTTGACTCACGGTCACGGAATCATATATACGCAATTTTATATCGTTGTCCTTGTTCTTGAAAATGTATAACAATAGTTCATTACCAAATATGCAAACTTAAATTTATCAACTGAATTAAATATTATCACGGGGAGGTTTATCACACATATTCTGCCATGCTACGGCCGCATGTGTACAGATATATATACAAAGCAATTTAATGATGTGTATGAATTTCCCAATCCGCGTTGGGCCCAACTGCAGCCTAAGCCCTCCCATTGTTAGAGAAGGCTTGGCCAGCCGCAATGGGACTATATAGGCTAACTGTCTATCTATCCGCACAGAACTATGATCGTCGAGCAGAAATCTCTTATGGTGAAAGGCGTTATGATCTCTGTGCTCAAACACTTTAAAGTCTAGCCAAAGGCAGAGAAGACTGAGAATCGTGAAAGAATTTCAGATAAACCTAGTAGTAAAACGGAGGAAAATAGAAAATACAAAATTATACATATCTTGCATACCGCAGTAATCATTTACCTTAACAAGACACGGTCCCTTTAGCCATAGTTCGCCATTAACATTCGGATCGGTGATGTTTTCTAGAGTTTCTGGATCAACCAACTGTAAAATATCAACGAAATTCATATCGGTATAAAAATAATCTCAGTACAGAGTACTAAAAATACCGACCTCAAAAGTACGTGGAATTACGTCTATTTGCTAAGTTTTATTGAAATATCCTTAAATGCGCCACTATACAGGACTTGACACTGGAGATAATAATAATCGGTTCTCACTACTCAAAGTATAGGTACGAAGAGAAAAACGCCTTGAATTGGAGAAATAGCAAAATCAACCGTTAAAATAATTGCTCCTTATAATAAAATTTAGGCGCTAATTATAAAAATGAATCTTTATGCGGGAACAGCCACCCTTAGAGGTGGATGATTTTCTTCAAAATGAAATGGGACCACTATGGAAGTACCCCCTTTCCAACAAAAAAAGAATCATGAAAATCGGTTCACAAATACCGGAATTATCACGTAACATACATACAACAAAAAAGAACATACAGTCAAATTGAGAAGCTCCTCCTTTTGTGAAGTCGGTTAAAAATTACGTGATTCAGTTATATACACAGTTAAAATAGTAAAATACGTGCAGCTGAAGATAAACCTTAAGAATAGGATATTAGACAAGTATCAAAAATTTAATATTTTTATACAAAAACATCTTTCTTCGCGGATACGTGTACATTTATTAAAAGTTATCCCAACTCAAATCAAAATTGATAGTGAAATGAAACAAAATTGAACCACTCCAAGCTTTCCAAAATGAGGAGTTAGAAAGAAACGGCAATACTAACACTTTTTTTTATATAATATAATAAGTGCGCATTTGACCTCCATCTTACCTAATGGCAAGTGACGATAAGGTTGTCGATGGAGTAACCTAAATGATGTCTATTCACTCTCGCCTTGAAAAGGCCCAAGTTACAACGTGCAGGGAATAAGTCTGCAGGCAGGGAATTCCACTCCATAGCCGTTCCCAATGTCAATGTGGAAGCGTAACGCTTTGTGCGAATCCTTGGAATATCCACAACACAGAGGTGGGACCCAAGCCTACGTGTAGTTCCTCGGTGATGGAAAGGGGAAGGTGGAATTAAATTTCCACACTTTCTGTACTCTTTTCTTATATCGTAACGTTTTATTTATCGTTGGACGACTGTCGCGTCTAGCCTGTTCCCATATCACGACTATCTGTCGTAACTGTCGTGGACGTTTATTTTATCGTTGAACGACTGTCGTGTCTAGCTGCTCTTACTAGATCGTGACGACAATTTATCAATTCACGACAGCCGCCTTGTCGTTAGAAGCTGCGATTGCTTATTGTCGTCACATTTCTATCGTAATGTTTTATGTATCGTCTGACAACGTGTTGTATGTATCATTGTAACAACAGTATGACGTCGTAACGCCAAAAAAGTCGTGAACGACAGTGTGTTCTATGTGTAAGCAACGTCATTTAAATATAGAAGCCACGACACTTTAAACTGCACGACTATCTGTCGTCACGATATAATGGGAACGCGCCCTTAGTAAAAAGTAGTTATGAAACAGTCTACGTGCTCATCTGTGAACACTGCAGAAAAGCAACAACTCTAACTTGTTTGTTTCTTAAATCACAAACGAGAACAGGAAATAACTAATTTCTGATTGTTTTCAATTTGTTCATGAGAGTTGGTTGAAGCTATAAAAACCGTAAAGTCAAATACCCCATTTTGTTTCGCTTTACTGTCTCTCTACAAATATGATATAACAGTAACTTACCCTATACTGAAAAAGGCTGAGTGGTGTTCCAACTGACGCAAAATTATGTGAGCTCGGGCAAAGAGCAGCAGTCATAATTTCAGTCATTCCATAGCCAATATGAAGACGACAATTTGGAGCTACTTTCTAAAAATGGAATATTACTCTGATAATTGTATTATAATATTTTATTAATATGTTTATCTACAAACATATCATAAACCCTCTATGATGTGTTCAAAAACCGCAAATTACGACCAGCGTAAAGATAAACTGTTTTGTTAGAACAAATTTCTTATCTGTGAAAATATTATTATTGTTTCGTAATAACATAGAATTCGATTTTATTATTACATTCAAATTTCGAACATCTCTAAAAAACAAAACAATTTGATTCGACCTCAATTCTAACATCAGCGAGTCGAAAATTTATTCGAAATGAAATGTCAATAGCAATCAATTTTGACAAATTTCACACGTTACTTGATATCGAGCGATAGTTGGAGTCAACTCTAGTTAGTCTATTAATTAAATTAAAAACTACGGTTGTGTGACATGCGTGGGAAAAGTTTTTATTTGCCGCCATTTCGACAGTCGCAAATTACATGCTCTAAGGTCGCAAACCAACACTCGTATTTTAATGCCTTTCAATAAGTAACATAAACTACTTTTATTGAAATTATATTTTTTAATGATGAAAAATCGATGTTCCGTGTAGTCGAAATAAATACGCCGAATGTATATTAAATAATTTAACGTAAATTATCGACATTTAACTTCTCGGCGCTAAAACGTCTACTATGGTGTTTACTTTGTTGGAGTCACTCGTTACTTAGGTCCATGAGGCAATATTAGTACGAAACCTAAGATTAAGTTAACTGACCTTGATTTCATTAACCAGATGAACTGGCACGTGACTGCCACCAAGACCGATCTCCTCAAAGGAAGAAAAATCACACTTGTCCCTATCACCAGGCCTCAAGAGGGTCGTCATAAATGTAGGGCTGGACTGGACTATCGTCGGCTGAAAATCCAACAGGTCCCAGTATAGTCAATATTTTTAATATAATATAAGTGTTCTTCGTTCATTATTTTGCCCCTTTTTTATACTCATTATCATTTGACGCCTTTTTAATAAAACAATTTCGCTTCAAGCCCATTTATTTAAAAGTATTTCTTGTGATTCATTTTTTTTTTTCTACAGATGTAACAAAAGAGTGCAAAAATACTATGAAATTTTCCGTAATTTACAAAACAAGAAAAAATAAATTGCTTCATTGTGACAGTTATTTGTGTCAAATTATTGTTGCAAGTTTTTATTACAAAAATAAATTGTCAGCTACGTCAAACTGTACCTTATATTTATTGATCATTTCGTATGCGTGCTCCTGATGGATGTTCGCAGAAGATTGAAGTCTAGTATATCTCAAAATTGGCGAAAGATTGAAATGCAATATTGCAGAAGTCCATTGAATTGGCGAAATTATCATTACCAAACGAGTTGGTGTCGGGAACTTAGTAAACATCATCCTGTTGAAAATATAAGGACAAAATTAAGTAAATACATCGAGTATATAACCAGAAATAGAGACGAAATAAGGACCATCCATCCCTGGCAACTCATCAGGTAAATGGGCCTTATATCACTTTTAAATATCAAGTCTCGTTTGCACTGAAACCACAAATTAGAAAGCTGAAATAGTGCTAATGGTAGTAATAGTAGTAGCGCCAACAACTGACCTGTGTTTACGTTTCTGTATATTCCAAAAGTATTCTGTATTTATTGTAATAAGGATAATATCTCTAACAACGGGAGGCTGTTCATCTAATTCATCTAATTATAAAACAAGCTGAATTACATTTCATTGGTAATTAAATATGTATTTTTTTCAATTTTCGTTCATTATAGTAAAGTTTAAGTGAAACAATTGGCGACACCCGTCACAGTTGTCACCATAATAATGTGACAGAATAGTTTTCAAACAAATTAAGTGTCATTTTGTCTCTTTCTGGTTATATACTCGATGGGTAAATAGTGTTAAAAGGTTGTAAACCGCCAATAGGGAGCAATAATAATAGATTACTCAGTCCACATTAATTTGTTGTATTACATACAATTAAAATAGTATAAAAAAAAACAAGAACAATACTTAAAAAAACACTCCCTTCTTAAATACTACGAAAAATGTGTAAGACAGTAAATAACTTAACCCCGAACGGGCCGTATTTTTTTACAAATATTAGTTAGGTTACTTGATTTTAAAGATATTAGATAGGTTACATGATTTAAATCAAAAACTGGTAAACGGATCAAAATTAGTGGTGAAGACGAGGTAGAAATACTCGCTCCAGACTTCAAGTAGAGAGTGGCGACGAAACGAAACAAAGTGAGAATAATGAGGCAAAGGAATTAAAGAACGATTCAAAATTTCAATGGAGGACGATGGAGGAGGTCGCATCGTTACAAGTGTCAATTTGCTCTACAAGCCAGAATAACGCCGGATCATTGGTGTTAACAAAGACCTATAACTGACAAACTATTTCGCAATTCTCAACGCATCGAATTTTCTTTAACCAGGCAAATCTTGACTGTAGGTATGTATTTTGTTAAATTCTTCAATTCATTTATGATAACCATAAACAAATATAAGTAGACTTAATTGTAAATAGAAAACATGATAGTGATCACGCAATACGGTTACAGCTTATTTATTCACAAGTCATTTAAAAGATTAGATAAGCTAATAGATACCTGTGTTGTCTAGTTAGAAGAAATATGTATGTTTACGTTGTGTCGTTGCTTGCTTAGAATATCTACTTGTATTTTATTACCTTGGTAGTACACCCGTAAAAATATACATAATCGCCGTGCACAAAGTTTAAAACATTTTTGAAAATAGGTGACAAATGAAACGTTTTTCAATGAATCTCATTTTTTTTTTTCTATAAACAATAATGCTCTGGCCACAGAGAGGCCACCGCGGAAGCGTTCCGGGCGCGGGAATTTTTGTAATGTATGAGTTCAATATGAACCCTGCCACACTGAAACGCGCCCCCAAACCAATGGTTTGATCTGATGTTTTTCGTGTAAATTTGACTAACTTCACACTTGACTTAGTAAAATTAAGGTCATATTTCAAATACCGGTATGAGCTTTTCTTGTACAACCACGCAACCAATATTATAATAAATAATAATATAATAATAATTATTGATACCTCCGTGGTCGAGTGGCTTGTACACCGGTTTTCATGATACCATGATTGATTTTAGTGAAATTAACAATAATAAATATTATTTATTTATTTCCTCTCAACTTCCAAGGTAAATTGTATAAATGCTTACTGCCTAGTGAGTTTCAACATTAACATTATTTGCGATAGGCTGAGATTGGCATAAAAAAGTTTGTATTACATATATATCACCAGCAGGCCTGCCATAACCTTTCCAAAAACAATCTTATTTCAATGTAAGCATAAAGTAAGCTTATTGTAATATTATTCATTTTCGTACCATGACAAACCTATCAACCAAGTAATGTATTATTGCTAAAGTGACTGAAAGAACGAATGATTACCCAATATTGTCTATTCCTTACTAAAAGTAAGAAAGAAATAACGCTGTATTAACTGTACAATCCCAAGCAGCACACCCATATCTAAATGTATACCATAAGATATCTAATAGAATTTAATTCGATTGAATATTTTAAGAGTTCAAATTCCCTCAAGATATCTCAAAGAAGGTTTCTAGATAATTTAAAGTAAAAGTGGGCACAACTTTATTAGTAGATCACAAGAGTGCTTTGAGAAACTATCTGTAGGTAATGTTAAGAGTCATTCTTATCTTTTTTCTGAAGTAACCCTTCTAGAATGTTACAAGACCATTTGTAGAATGTAGACAGTTTTTATTTAGTCTTGTAGATAGTTTTTAGATAATTTATAGTCTATGATAGTTTTAGTACTAAAGCGTTACAAACATAGGACGCAATTCTCTTAATACTAATAGATTTCATATTTAATGGCTTACAAAATATAAACTATATAAATTGCAACATGGCGAAATTAGATATAATATTTCTTACTTTTTCGCGCAATGTTTAATCGGTTAGAAAGCGCAAATTGACGTGCGACTTTAAATACATTGTGTAAAGTGATGTAAAACCTGTCATAAATGTAATGCGATCGCTAAATTTTAAATATTTAAGTATAAAATATAAACTTAATAAAAATACAGTTATCGATTTTCGGTTTTAAATATTTGTAGAAACCTTAAATGTACAAAATAACTCACAAAACAAACCATTTCCAAGGTTTTTAGGCTTTTTCAACTTAGATTACTTTTAAAAAGAAAATAAATTTTTCTCAGCTACTTCATAGTCATTCTTTAAAAAAAAAAAGGCGATATTTTCGAAGCTTTTTTTCAAAACACAGTTGGGAGCATTTTGTCTATAGCTTTATTAAAATTATTAAAAAACTTTAGAATACGAAAAGATTATTTTTACTTGCTTTAGTGTAGTTGAACTTGTCGAAGAATTTTCGAATTGTCGAAATTCCTCCTATGAGATTTTTATGACTGTCTACAAAACGCGATGTTTCTAAGCGATTTTTTCTTTTGACAGTATTACAAAACTTTTATAAGGTTATACGACAAAAATGAGCGCTTTTATATTAAGACTGTTTATAGATATAACAGTTTTAAGGCGTTTAAAGTGTGCTCCTTGGGATGCATTCTCTTTTTTTTTGATGTTCCGAATCGAGTTATCGTAGTATAATGTTAAAGTATTTAATATTATTTACATTCACAGAATTTTAACTGCCAAAAAAAGAACAGTATGTAATATATAATGAAAGCTATTAAAATTAAATAATTAAATAAAACAAGCTGAGTCTTGATAGTCACGTTTTAAATTCGGAACTATAGTCTAGTGTCAACTGTTAGTTTCGCGAAGGAGCATATAGAGTGCGCTGTCATAATTTTGCGAAATAAACATCGCGTATTTTTATTTTACGAGAAACTATTTCCTATGTGCTATTAAATAAAAAAATAAATATTGAAAAAAGAATATTGAAGAGATATATGTAAATAAATAAGTTCAACTTAACTTTTAATCATTACAAATCAATATTAAGACAATAAAACTGAAAATAATATTGTTTCCATTGCATCCGTGTAACTATTTTAAGATTGCTAAATTTGACATAAGAGCAATATTACTTTAATGTCAAAGTCGCGTCATAGTACGAACTGAGTGAATGAATAGTCACAACAATAAAACATAATAATTTTAACATTACAAATATGCTTACTTTAAGCGCCTTATGGTACGAAAAGTCAATGTAAGGTTAAAGTAATATTGTTTTGATTGTGATCAATTACTTACTTTTAATTTGCAAAATCAAATTAAATTACTACAATTTTTTGGAAAGGATGAGAATCAAGACACAATTTCGTAAAAGAAAATATCAAAAGTAAATAAATTTGTATGTGGAATTAGGTAAAAGAGAAGTAGCCAAAGTGTGCTTCTTCGTCTTGTATTTATATATTTTTTTTTTTAATTTATTTCCAATCAACTACTTAGGTATATTACAATCACAATTTTACAACATTTAAAAACCATTAAGGTTCGAGTCAATGCTCTTATTAATCTACATCGAAAAATCATAAACGGTATTATAATAAAGTGTATGAAAGTATATGTATGTAAAGTATATTTAGGTGGGTAAGTATCTATGTGTGCAACGATTTAATTATAACGTGGGATGCAACAACTTTTCAGTCTTGTCATAGTCCTATGACTTAAGTCTCTTTACCACTGCAAGATTTATATCAAAACTATCAAATAGAACTACTATTTTGGGGATAAATTATTTATCCCATCAAATCTTACAGAATTGAAAGATTTTAGTCATAATTGATCAGTAACATATCACTACCTCTACCATGAGCTTACTGTGACAGTTGTTGAAGTATTTGGTAATTTTATATGGCAAATTGCACAGCGCCCTCTAGTGGTCCCGAGAAGAAGTAACATTTTAGATATCATTTTTTTACGCGGTCAATAGCGACGAATGTGACTATAAACTCAAGTAAAGTTACATTCTTTAATGGTGGTTTATTAATAGAATATAATTTTCACGAGAGATATTATAATATTATCTATTTGTTGGTGTTAAAAACCGTTAATTACATACCATGCATAAGGTCCACCAATCGCAATACTCCTATGAGAGGCAGCGGCTTGTTTAGGAAGCCCTGACGTTCCACTTGTAGGAACAAGAAAGGCCAAGGTTTCCTCAGGATCAAAATCTGTGGCCCTGAAATAGATTAATGAATCGAATTATATGTTTACTATCCCTAATACCTACTTAATTGAGTATTACATTTTTACATACATTTCACAACACAATCATGGCAATAACATTAAAAGGTCTAACGTTAGTCCCTTTAATTCATAATTTCAAAAAGTCATATTTTCAGGGGTCACCGACATCATCATCAACCCATCTATACGTCTCACAGCTGGGTACGGGTCTCCTGTCACACGTTTTCCGAGTATTGTGAACCTTCTTCGACGTTCATGATCCTTTCCTTCACCGAAAAGCTTGTAGTAAATTTCAAATTAATTTCACACGTAAATTCTGACAAACTTAGAGATTTCCAACCCATGGCCTCTGCTTGACAAGCGGTCGATAGGTGAAACTATTAGGATAGTATTTTTAAAACGGTTCTTTAGATCTAGAAAATAAAGACAAGCAACTCACATTCTAACACATTTCATTTTATAAAACGTAACTTATACCAGAGAATAAAAAGTAAAGAGAACGGACACTCTCCGCCCCTCTCTAGCTTTAGATACCGCACCACGCCCCGCACATTGCTGGTCACATTGACTGAACGACAACATGGCTGCCGGCGAGCCGTTATCGCGCGAAGACGACTTTGATATTTGATTTGATTTGATATATTATATATATATATATATGTATATATATATCAAATATCATATATATACACACACATCAAAAGTGTCATGTAGGGATCAAGTGAATATTTTTGAAATAAAAATTATTTAAGCAGTATTTACCAAATCCAGTCTTCCAGGACGACTTCTTACTTTAATGCTTATGTTTTATTTAACCGCTTAGCCCTATATTTAATTAAAATAAACTAAAATTGATGTTTTTGCAAATTGTGGGCAAAAACCTCAAATTAACGGCGTCAATTAAATGACAAAAAAATGGCGTTAATGATGATTTTGCTCATTTTTATTGTAGAGATAAGAAAATTAATAATCTGTATTTCCACCATTAACACGAATCACACAATTACAGCGATTTGGCATGCTCTGCAGTACTTAGTAGTACTATATTACTACAGTAATATATGTATAAAAATACAGATTTATTATATCAATATAATGAGGCGCCATGACTTCGTAGACAAGGGTTCTCGAAAAATATACATAAGTAGGGAATATACCTAATTATTAGCTAAGTAATGATAATCGACTTGGACATGCAATTTCAAATACTTGGGTACCTTATTTAAAAGTACATGTCCAAAATATAACATTTTAAGTGCTTTTAATATATTTTTTAAATAAATCTTCAATATTGCTCTGGTTAGCGAATTAATGAAAAATATGATATCATATCGATATAAATACATAATAGACATGTGCAATTATTAGGATTCTGGATTCTATTAATAGAATCATAGATAATAGATTCGCGTTAGCATTTTCACTATGTTGTATTTGATTTGTATTTGATTGTATTCTGATCACGTAACGTAATAGTGCAAGAAAGTGATGGGTAACCCTGCCACTCCACGCACACATTTGTGCGTGTGCAGATTGCGCATTGCTGTATGTAGTAGTAGTAGGTAAATTTTGGACCGTTGTATTGAGTGTCCGGGGTGTGCTCACACATAAAATTAGATAGACACAGACCGAAGGACTTGGCTTTACAAATTTACCTGAAATTATTAACATTGCAATCATTCTCTGAATGTTTCAGTAACTCATTGAAACTGCATACATTTTCAACATCAGCGCCGTCGTCAAAAGTAACAATTTGAGTGTTCAAGTTTATAGTTTTGGTGAGTGCTACAACTTCCGCGGCTCTCTCGCTTTGACAGAATATTATCTTCGGGTTGTCAACAACGAATACATGTTGAAGCTCCTCTGAAACACAGATTAATTTTTATAGCAGAACCAATTTATAAACGGCATACTGACAGCTATTTCCGCCTATATGTCTGGTCCAATTTTTAAGGCGAGTCACTGGAGGAGAAGCGGGATAAAGTGTTTTGCTAAATCAATTGGTTTTCGTATTTACGATTAAATAACGGTCTTACAAAAAATATCCAAAAAAATATACGATACACCTAAGGATATTGTCCAGAATGTGCTAATCTGTAACACAATAGGATGTACTTCGCCCGATCATAATAATATACAAAACCCTGAAAATAGACTAAAATAAAAGCTTAAAATTAATTATTTAAGAATAAAATATCTAGCTTTGCACATAGTAATATTTATATGGAGATATTTCTTTTTAAGCAGGTACTACAGAAAACTTGCCAAATTCTGGTTTTCGAATGTGACCACGTTAAGTTAAGCAGGGGTCAAATAATTGTCAGCGTGCATAAGCTTCGCTCCGGACACGTGACGCGGAGGGTGAACTCACCGAATTGCGAAGTGCTTGGGATTCCTGAGGATGTACTACTTCATTTGCTCATGGAGTGTGTTCGGACGGAACCTATCAGGGCGCGGTTATTTGCACAGACTTCCGTACATTTAATTTTGGGTGGTTTCAATCTGTTTTGTCGCAGCCAACATGTACTGCCGCGGAGATTTTGTATATATGTTTGGTTAGGTAGTATTTTGATTTATCTGTTTGGATTATATTAAGTATTTTCTTGAGGTGTTGTTTTTCTAATGGGGCTGACAAGAGTAGAAAATTAAAAAGTAGAAAAAAGATGTCTTCCAAACTTTTGATTTTGACGAAACTAATGTTTATTTTAAACGCATCGTCACGTCGTTTCCACCATTGTGAATGGGTCTCTCTGTAGGCATTAAGGTAATTTTTAACCCAATCGATAAATTAACTGGTCAAGCCTTGTACTCACTGACAGTCAGCGTCCTGTCGATTAGTGCAACAGTTATCCCAAGGTAGAGTCCAGCATAATATGGCACACATAGGTGGATGTGGTTGGGGGCCATAAGCACTATGACATCACCACGCTGCAACCCCAAGTTCCGTAGCGCATTCGCACATTGCACGCTTCTTTTCAGCACAGACTCGCAAGTTTCAGACTCTCCTGTGGCGGCATCAATCTGAAATGTTTTACGTTAAGTACACGCGGTCGAAAACTTTTGTAACAAACACAAACATAGGTAGGTAAGGTAAACAAGTTACACTTGAAATCTTCCTATTGATTAAAAAATTAGTACTGACGCTAAAGTTCACCTTGCACAGTAATGTCACCTAATTTTAAGATAGCACGCAGTTGTATTGTCTCAATAAAGATTATTATTATTTCTATATAAAAGCTGTATAATAATATAATCTCAATACAGAGTACTAAAAATACCGACGTCAAAAGTATGTGGAATTACATGTTTTGCCAAGTTTTATTGAAATCGGTTACCGAAAAGTGCGCAAACCTGGATTCATCCCCTAGTTCGCCACTATACGGAACTTGACACAGGAGATAATAAAAATCGGTTATCACTACTCAAAGTATATTAAGAGAGAAACGCCTTGAAATTGAGAATAGCAAACTCAACCATTAAAATAATTGCTCCTTATAATAAAGTTTAGGCGCTATTTATAAAAATGAATAAAAAAAAGTTTTTGGTATATATTACAATTTGGGGATCACTCGCCATTTTCGTTAATACGCCATTTTCGTCAACTGGTAAATTTTGAATCTCCTCAATTATATGTAAAAGTATTTAAGTCGCCATTTTCCCTAACCCGTCATTTTCTTTAACTGATCGCTTTCCTCAACTATTATATAAAGTACCTATTAAATACAGCCGTTTTCTTGTAAAATTTCGAGGTAAGTCTATGTTTTTTTATATCGTGACAATTTTTAGGCGTCGAGTTTGCATTCCTTTATTTTTTTCCATCCTCTAAGTTTTTGCACACCGTATAGTAAGTAATCAGTGTATATTCTCAATTTTACTATATATTTTATCCAAAGTGATTAATTTAACACTTTCACTGTTATGCGGAATCAACCAAAGCCATTTAAGTTTGTATGGACTCTTAAATTAACTTAAAAAAGATTTTGTGAAGACGACTGTCAAGAATAGCTAGTTAATTTTTATTCCTCGTATTAATGTTATATGTGTCACTATTTTTATATTAAAACAATTACTATACTTTTTAACATAAATATCATTTTCATAAATGTATTGTGCCCTAAACTAAACTTATCTCTCAAAGACACTCTGGGGCCCAGATTGCAAATTGCCCTAACCGCACGCTTCTGCAAGATAAAGATTCGATTAATATCGGCGGCCTTACCTACCTCTAAGCAAAATGCACAATGTACAAGGTACAACGAAAATGTTTTTAGAAAAATTTCCATAATATAAATTTGCTTACTTGTAATACGAAATCCGGTGCATCTTGGAGCCCACGCAATATGAGTTTCCCGAGGTGGTAGCGGTCAGACGGTATTCCCGTCTCAGCGATAACTCGCGCACTCAGCTCATTCATGTACAGGTGCACTGCGTCATTCCATCCTCTTTGAGGGTACATGTTTCTACATTTAATACTGACTACTCAAAAAGTCTGTAGTTCTTCCGTTAGTACCTAGCTATCTCGAACTGAACACTTAAGATTGTGTTCTGTGACTTTTAAAGTAATACGTAGGCTTAGAACTCACAGAGCGTTTTTCACCCGCGCCTGACAGATTTTTTATTTCAATACTCACGACATCGCAGGTTTGTGTGGTTACGTAACCGCCGCGTTTGCGGAACGGGCCGCAAACTTAACGGGAGATGATCGCAAGTCGCGCGGTTATTACGACCGAACGAGATCGTCAATTAAGTCCCAGACATCGCCATGGACACACACCAGAAACGAGCCAGAAAAAGAAGAAGACTTAAAAGATTCTGGATGTATCCTCTTATTCCAGAAAGAAATCGTTACGATCGTTGTTCTTATTAATGAGTTAAAAAAAAACATGAAACGCGTCGCCAGCGAATCGACTGCAGAATGATCGGGCGACGACCGCCAAGCGCGCTGTTCTACTGGTACTCGGTACTACGTAGACGCTGCAGCTACCATCCACACCACGGGCGTGAAACACGTCGTGAAGTGTACAATACAATATACAATACAATATGCTTTATATGAAGTGTGCTGCTAAATACATATCTAATTATCTACATTCTACGAAAACCGCTGTTCCGCAACCTCGGCGGACGCACGCAAAAACCGCTCCGTGAGTTCTTGGCCTTACATAGCTAGAAACTTATATACTGGGTGACAAAAAATATTATTTATTTTAAGGGATCTTGCTTTAAAGTAAAAATAAAAAATACTTATTTTTGTTAAAACGTTCTTCGGGTGACAGAGGTAAATCAAATTTTATTCACAACAAAGTGTTCTAAAGAACCAGTTAAGACTTTATGTCGAGTGTACTACAACTATACAAGTCGAAAGCACAGCGAAAAGGTCATTTCATGTTAGATTAGACAGAAAGTCAAATATAAGTCACGCAAAGCAGAGGTTCTAAACATTGTCATTTTACTCACCCCCCTGAATCGTTATCATTGAAATGTACAATTTTATTTGCGAAACATAAATTACCCTTAGCTGAAATACCTACCTACGTGATGAGTTAAAAGAATAGAATAGAATAGAATACGTTTATTTGCCAGAATACAGTAATTACAAAGGTCTTAAGTAAAATTAGGTACATTGTATTCAACCTGCAACCACATGTGCAAATATTAATGGGATTCAATGTTTATTTAGTCTCCATAGTTTCTAATTAATGTAATGAATTTGTAAATACTAATTATTCTTTATTACTATAGAAGCAATGTGTCAAAAGCAATTTTCTCAATTTTAATTTAAAAGTATGTCCTTCTAACAATTTAATTTCGTTTGGTAATTTATTGTAAATAATTATACACATGTTGAAGCAGTTATTCTTATAAATTACTTTATGACAACGAGGTTGGTATAAGAGATTCATAATTTTTGCTCTAGTTTGCCTTTGAATGACTTCACCGCGTGTTTTAAAAAATTGAGGATGAGAGTTGACAAATACGCAGATATCCCTAATGTACATGGCAAAGGTTATATGTTCAGCCTTTTAAACAGCGGTTTGCAACTGTCATCGAACCACGCACCGCAAATTGCTCGAATATACTTCTTCTGACTTTAAACGCTCTTTCTAAGATTACTGAGTTACCTCATAGTACAAGACTGTAGCTGAGCACGGACGATACGTAGCCGTGATAGGCCGTCAACGCAGCTTCTCGCGAGACAGTTTGCCTTAGTCTTCGTAAAGCGTAAACAAATCTGTTTAGGTTCATGCACATCTGTTCGATGCGTTCCTTCCAGTTAAGGTTCTTGTCGATTGTTAACCCAAGGATGTTAAATGTGTCTACTTCATCCACAGTATCAGAGTTGTAATTAATTTTAACCGGTACGGGATTTGAGTTGTAAGATCTAAATGTCATAACTTTGGTTTTACTTATATTAATATTCAAGTCATTGATGTCCATCCAACTTATTACGTCTGTCAGTGCTTTATTTACGTCAGTGTTAAAAGTCGCTTTGTTTTGGCACTTTATTATAAGAGTTGTATCGTCAGCAATTTGTATACAATTATGATCAATAGCATGTGGGAGATCGTTAATGTAGAGTAGGAACAGTAACGGACCCAAGACGCTACCTTGCGGTATTCCAGCATTAGTCGTCTTAAGGTGTGATCTAAAAATATGTTTTTCTAATCTATTATTTTGTTTGTTTTTTGTTAATCTACTTATTTCAGTACACTGTGTCCTCTAATACCGTATGCTTCAAGTTTGTAAAGGAGTTTTGAGTGATTTACAAAGTCGAAGGCTTTAGTCATATCTAGAAAGGCTGACATTGCAGGAGTAGAGACGTTTATACTTTCCGTTACAATGCGCAAAAACTCAAAACATGCAAGAGTTGTAGAACTACCTTTTCTAAATCCGAATTGAAAGACTGATACAGTCTACCTGTTGTGAAATCATTAGCAAGTTAAGATAGGTATAAATTCCCTAAAATAACCACTATGCCCAGGCTTAATAAGTAAGTCAGTCGGTAGAGTGCTATGGGTATTTATTACTATAAAAAACGGGGCACAGAGATATTACACAGATACTACGACGTGAGTAAATACTTATGACAGGAAATAATACAAAATTACAGCAGAAAGACGCGCGAACATGAAAAACTACTTCTAACTGCGACCATTGTTAAACGCGGACTCTTGGATACTAACTGGGGCGCGCGGGGGTGCGGGTCGGTAATGACGCATAAAACGGAAGTTACCGGAAGTCCTTTCGTTATTACCATATTTAACAAAAATCTATGTACAAGACTACTTCGCCATCCCCTGAGAACAAAAAGATAACTGCCATTATCACAGTTTTAGTGTTTTATGATATTTAAGATCTTTAGGTTACCAATACATCTTTTCAATTTTTATCGTGATTTTTAAGTAGTTACTTAGGTACGGAATAACAAAATAACACAATATTATTCAAATTCTCTACCCATGCCCAAGTGCACAAGAATAAGGTTATATGATAATATTAGGCTAAATGAGTTACGTTTCTTAATGTAACAAATGACAATAGAATTATTTTCTCGTAAAAATAATTACGCGAAATAACTATACCCAGTTATCATATTTTATTCCTGTTTCAAACTGTTCGGGCTGTTCGTATAATAAAGCAAAATAAAGCAAAATTATCATATCACACAAAAACAAAAAAAAAATTGTAACAAAAAAAGCGCTAGCTAAATACCACCACCAATCCGACGCCGATGCAAAATGCAGGAGCAGGTCGTGGTCGGGGAAGACGCTAGCACATTTGAATACTACCTACCTAATACAGATCAGATCTAAAAAGTATCAGATAGGTAGAACAAAAACTTAAGTGTTTGTTTTCGATAAATTTATAATGTATTGTAAAAAGTCATGGAGCGCCTACACTCAGCCGTGGTTGACTAACGGCTGAAGAGATGAAGATGGGTACCGTACGTCGAGACTTGTGCAATTTTTCCAAAAAGACCTACCGGATTTTGATGACACCACTGTCGGTTTGCTGTTATGTGACAGCAACTTAAAAAAACGTGTAAATACTGCGTAAATTTTATTTTATATTTCCTATCAAAATGTCTAAGTGTTTGTGGTAAATTCATCGGAAATCTTTCCTCCGTAATTTCACGAACTTAGAACATTCAAAATACGCAGACTTTTTGTGTTTGTTTTGGGTATTATAACTCAAAAGCAGGTACAATTTATAAAATGAATAAAACACGTACCTAATTGTTTTCTTTTTACTCTATATAGGTAATATTAAAAATGATTTATCACAATTCTTTGTCATAACCGCCTTTATTGCTTTAAAATGACTAAGATAACAAAGCAAATTTAATTTAGCCTATGTATATAACGTACATTAAATTTATAATGCATTTTACATTTAGTAGCTTAGGCAGGAACATATCAACTTCCAAATTAATCGTAGAATTGTAGAAACATAAATGTGTTTTGATAGAACGATCACAATGGGTTTTCTTCTATTTTTTACGATGCTAAGTAACGGGACGAACGAACCGTGTGCCTGGTGGTAAACGACACACCTGTCCGTTGCAATTGCAGTGCCACTCAAAACTTCAAATCGCAAAGATCTAAGAGGAACTGCCACTGCGCCCGTGACATAGTAGACAAGTTCCATATACCTATAATTTCACCAGCACATTTACCCTTCAAAACCGGACCGTATTACTTACACATTACTACTTGGCAGCAGAAATAGGTAAGATGGCAGTACTTCCCTGGACGAACTCTTTGACAAGGAGCCCTAACTGCTACTAATTACATTTAAATTACGTATTAATACTGCTACTGTAGATTGAAATGCGACCGTACTTCAACGGGTAGTAGGTAATACTTGAAAACAAACACGAACATCGTAATATGGGTTTAAAATTGTTTAGATTTAGGTTTGTAATGTTTTAAACGTACATAAAAATTTATTTAGGCACTAGAATTGTGGTTGATTGTACTATAGCACATGAAACCAAATAGGTACTCTCAAAAATGGTGAAGTTGAGGAACACAATTTGCAAGGTCAAAAAATTGAATACAACCGACAAATCTATATAGATTCTCGTTTATAAAAACGTGCATAACCAATAATTAAGTGTAAATAAAAATAATCCCATTAATCAATAATCTTTCATACAAAAAAAAGAATTTTCAAAATCGGTCCACACCAATTTGACTGGGAAATCGGTGAATACACTGTAGTACATGCCTATAAAATTTGAAGATTTCTCTCGACTTCCGTGTGATCCCCTCATCAGATACTGACTTGGTGACAATGGGACCACCTCCAGAATTTGCAAAATCGGTCCACAGTTGATGGAGAAATCGGTGAACATACGTAAAAAATACATATAGTCGAACACAGAACCTCCTCCTTTTATTTTTAAGCCGGTTGTACGAGCTGCTTGTCTCGTACAGTAATATGTCAGAATATGTCAGATGATATCAGCGAGATGATGCAGGGAGATGTCAAAGATGCTGTAGAAAAAATACTCGACCGATACCACGGAGTAACTTTATTGTACTGAAAATTATAATTTATACATATTGCACGTGCACAATGTAGGGTGCGACGTTGCATATTGTCAGTTGCACAATAATGTACGTTGACCCGTACGTACTCCCGACACACAAGGAAGAAATAAAGTAAAAATGTCATTAAAAATTGTAAATATGCAAAATATAAATCCTATAAATTAACAATGTAAAATTTTTAAATATTCCAACTTAAAATATAAAAACTGTTCTTAAATATTTCACTTACATGTCACTACAAATTGTCAACTTAAAAATTTAATACAAAAACAAATTAAGAGGAACAAAAATATTAATTAACTAGGTTTGTAGAATTATTTAAATCAAAGTGAATTTTCTTCGGCATCGTTGGCGAGGTACCGGTATCCACACTCGCCATGGAACCTCTCAATGCGCTAGTCATACTTCCGGGCGGCAACATTGAGCGTGGCGCAGTGACTATTACGTCAGTGAGTGACGTCTCATCCATCGCAGAGAGATGGGTAGAACTTTGTTGCGCGGACGCTCTTTCTTGCACGTTGCATCGCTTAGATTTTATGTAGCATCCTAAGGTCCAAGGTAAGTAATGATAATACTAGTCCAATGATACTTGTGTAGATAATAAAGTAGTGCGTGTTATTTCTGTTGGTAAACTGTTCTAATTGTTGTTGCTTCATGCTGTCAATCTTTTGTTGGATTTCTTCATATGTTTTTTCATGGTTTTCAGAAATAAAATTGTCAGGTAATGATATATTACTGATTTCGTTCAATGATAACTGAGTGTCTTGCATGTCAAGGGCAACAGTGGACCGTATAGTTACTTGATTGATATAATCATGCTGAGAATATATCAAAAACTTATCTCCTATAATCACACATCCCGGTTCCGGGCTTAATAGTCCATTGCCTCGTAATTGTTTAGTTGTTATTTCCGGCGAACATAATTGATTCGAACGCGGCACTCGGTGTGAGTATAGCCATGTGTCGCGTGCGTGCAATTTGATCCACCTATCAGCACATTTCTTTGCGACAGGTGTGCAATATGGTTTGTTTTCATTATTTATTTGTATTTGTAAGTCGCACAGGGATTGCCCCATGGTCATTGAATATATGGGCTGATTCACCGGGCAAAACATCTGTTGATCAGTGTGATGGATGCAGTGTTGCATGTCATTTTCTGTCATAGGTATTAGCGTATATTTTTTATAATTCACAGCTAAATCTTTTGTTGCGGTGGTTGTATAAACAACGCTTCCCTGTTTTCTTTGAGGGATGTCAATAATCTTATTTAACTCGAAGGAATCGCGGTTTAAAAGAGGTATATTTATTTCTATGATCAATAAGTTTGTAATCACTCTTGCTTTCACGTGAAGGAGACCATATAAATCTCGTAAATTGTCAGTTGGCAAGATTAAGTCACTTTGCAATTGTACTGATATAGTGTTCAACTCTTGTTGTAGCTGCTCTGGTTCCAACATATGAATGTTCTGACGACTATGGTAAATGTCAGTAACCATTTCTAATAATAAATCTTGAATTCGGCGAATGTTAGCCAATATAACATTAACTGATATCAACGATGACATACTATAAAATGCTTGTAAAGTATTTTGGTCCGCCTTTTGTGCTCCATTCATTTCGGAAGATAACTTTCAGATGCTTGTAGATATAATCGAGTTGGGTGTTCATTAACTGTTCGTTTCGTTTGAGTATGTTGTTCTGAGCTTCGACTAACGAAGTTTGATTTTTGAATAGAGTGAGTAAATGATCTTCTCTCCGACGTACAGTTTCAATGACTTTTTCATATTTTTGAGCAAAATTGTCATCCAATACTCCAAATAAAACGTTTGCTAAATTTCCAACTCCATTGAAGAATCCTCTCTTTTTTCTACGTGAAAGATGTTCATAATTTGTCAATAATGCATTGTAGTGACTGTCATGATTGCAGTTTGCGGTCACTGTTTTAATATAGTTTTTCACTGTTGTCATGCTTTCCCAATATGTACTCATATTATAATGCACAACCGTCTTCCAGTGATCCTGGATAATACGGGTATCTGCAATCTTGCCAAAGTACATGGTGTTGTTATTGTCAAGACTCTTTATGGTTGTCATTCTTCCTTGTATAGGAGTAAAAAATGTCAGTAAAATTGTCATTGTCATGCACATGCGATTGTTCTTCTTTATACATCTGGTGGAAGCTGGTTGTGGTTTGTCAATGTCTGATTGAGTATGGACCGGCAGCGGCAACAGATTATTTTCATCCAAAAAGGCTTGCAATTGTAGTAAATTACTTTTCGCCATGACAACACCTTTTCTTCTTAATTCCGAAATATCCGATCGGAACTCTTTAGTTTGTATCACACGAATTACTATTATCAATGCATTATTTATTTCACTCGCTGTTATGTAATTTGTATTGTCAGGTGCATCGCGGCTAATGCCCTCGGTGTCATGTTGCGTTCTTGACGATTGTAGTCGCGACAACACGCGGTGACGCACAATGTTTATGAAACGTGACATTCGGGCAATTACTCTTACTATATGCATAATCGAGTCATGTTTATGTAATAATTCTTCAATAATGTCAGTAGTTTCGACCATTGTCTGTGCATATTTGGGGCTCGTTTTTCATCTCAATCTGAGGCATGTCAATCATATGAGTGTCATTTTTGGAAATTGGTTTCTTGATCCACGCAGGTCCTTCCCACCAGAGCGTATGTTCTGTCAACTGAGAAGTGGTAAGGCCTCGAGTTGCGCAATCAGCTGCATTGTCATTTGAGCTCACATGTCGCCAGCACGAAACTGGCATAATGTCAAGGATTTCTTTTGTACGGTTAGCAACAAACGCCTTCCAACGGGATGGCTGTCCTTGAAGCCAACCCAGTAGGTACGACTAAGGAATCCGTCCATCCGTATATTGGAATGTCAGTGTGTGGAAACGCTTTCAAAACTTTCTGCATTAGTTTTGATAACAGGAGAGCGCCGCACAGTTCTAATCGCGGTAATGTCAAAGTATTCTTCCGTGGTGCAAGTTTTGTTTTAGAGCAGAATATTCTAACAATTGATTCGTTCATGTCATTTGTGGTTTTTATGTAAATCACTGCTGCGTAAGCTTGTTCGGACGCATCACAGAATCCGTGTATCTCTATTGATGCGTGAATATTACCAATCCATCTTGGGATTTGAAATTTGTCAACATTCTGCAAGTCGTCACTGAGTTTGTTCCATTTTTTCAAAATGTCACATGGAACTTCATCAGCCCACTCCATTGTCACTAACCAAAGTATTTGGAATAATAATTTGGCCCTTATTGAGAGTGGAGATAGCCACCCCAATGGGTCAAATATTTTGGAGATTTGTGATAAAAGTGTTCACTTGGTTGTCTTTGAAGTTAGTCAGAAGCTACATTTTCAAATTTATGGCATTGATATAACATACGATCATTGCTGTTGCATAAAATACAGCGTGGCTTGGCTGTAGTCGTATTCATTGCCTTCATATAATATGACGATCTATTGCCACTGTATGTCAGTTTTTCTTTCGCGTTATGTGGCGTTGATAGCTTATTTGGCGTTGATACGCTGTCAATTTTTAAATGCAATTTGTCAATATTCTCCCCCCTTGATTGCAAACTTTTTAATTCATCCTCCAATTTTTCTGTTATTTTGTCGATATCAATATTATTTATTTGGCGTAGTAATGCACGAAAATTTGACTTCTGCTCACTCTTCAACTCGTCTGCTGCTAGCTTCACACCTGCCCCTTCCATGTTGGGAAAGTAGATCGTAAGCAGGTTGCGTATTGTGTCATAAAGATTTTTTGTGTCATTGTGGATATTCTTTACATAGTAATCATGTGTTTTTTCATATTCAGAGCAAGAAAGTTGAGCATTATTGCTGTCAAATTCTGCCCATAAACTGTCAAGGGCGATTACCCTTTTTTGTAGGTAATTCCGTCTTTCTCGAGGACGAATCCTTATTAAAATTCCTGTGAATCGTCCTGATAGATTGTATTATCTCCTTTTGACGAGCAAGAAGTTCTTCCATTGTTGCACTGGGTGTATACTGTCAACGATAATGTTAATAAAATGCAGATTAAACCGTTCTTGTTACTGTAATATATTTATGTCAATAAAATGAAGATTAAATCTTGTTAATGTACTGCCACTTATGTCGAGACGATATGCAATGAACGTCTATTCGTTCTTACCGCTGCTGTTACGGTGATGTCAATTTACACTGCAATATATTTACACCATAGATCATACATATAATTGACTTACAAAATACATATAGACTGATTTACACACTCACAAATGTCACTGTTTTATATAAATGTCACTATGAATTATTGAATTTATGTCAAAATTACTACTACGAATTCTCGATGTTCTTTTACAGGGCCTCGAAGTTACATGGTAATTTTTAATAGGATATTAAACGAAATTGAATGGTGACTAAATGGCGACTTTTTACCGGACTAGTCAAATTTCAAAAACCATGGTCGACCATGATCAGGCTGGAATAAGCCACGCTGCTAAAATTATGTATAATGTAACCAGGTTATTTAAGTTTACTAAAAGTGTACTTAATTCATCTTGGTGAATTAATCCAGATGAATTACTTAGCCCTGCGTTCTTGACGTATTGATGGCATACACTATAATATTGCCATCGTGGTGAAAGAACTGTCAATTGGCGTAAGGCACTCGCGGATTGTTGTCTAGGGTTCACCACACGTAGGAAAAGAAATCGTCGCGAATGGCTACTTACACAGCAGGCTCTTGCGCTTGGAATATATTGAGTTTGGTAGAGTTAATTATTCTAAGTTTCCATGTTTTAAAATATCTTAATTACAATACGTACTTTAAGTCTCGATTTAATTACAATACTTCAACAGTTATGACAGAGGAATAGAGGCCGTGGGTTCCCCGGGACTCGACGGGTCTTTGATTTTATTATAAAATGTATTACTGGTTTCAAGACAAATAAATGAGTTTCTTATTATTATTATTCGCTTCTAGTTGCCGGTTGCTTGTATGGATACACAAGACAAACGTTTGCGCGGGGCCTTAAAGTTCAACGAGAAATTTTTGGGCTCGTGGTCGAAATTTTAACAAAACCTCTTTAATGAAAAGTAACCTCACCATTTTTTGACAGGTTCGCAAATATTTCGGTAACGATTGCATATGGTATGGCAGTAAGAAAAAACACAGCTATAATAAAATATTCATTTATTCTTTCTTTTGGATTTTTTTGCTTTATTACAAATCGTCAAAAACTGACGCTAACAATAACATTAGCCACGTCAAAAGACGTAAACGATAAATTATTTACAAAACGCAATAAATATACAAATTAATTATTTTTAAATGAAATAAACGACCACATATCGTCAATGTCTATACAGTTCCAAATAAAGTGATCAAGTGTCGTTACTTGTCTGTTCTTTTTTAAAGTGTTGTAGCTTCACCGATACAAAGATTCCGCCAACGTCAAGTTAAGCAAGACACGCGTTTAATACCAAGCTTAGAAAATCTTGTTCTTTCTAAATTCTATACAATAATATACTCGTCGACACATAATTCGAACCACCTTACATTTTCAATATTAAATGCTTAGCTTAAATAATGCTTGATTGCTCAAAAATGCTATCATGCAATTTTGAAACTGGAATACTAAATGACATTTCCTAACCGGAGAAAACTTTTTCTTCGATGATAACTATATTTTTATATTGTAGGCCTTTAAGGATAAAAATGCAACGTGGCAATTATGTGTCCGGGAGTGTATATTCAATTTTGTGACTCTCTTTTAAAATTACTCATAATGACATGAGCTGTGTTTTTTTTTAGTATTAATGTTTGCTCAACGACGCAATGACTATTTAAACTAGATTGATTACTATTTGACAGTGACATTGATATCTTATTACTTCGATTAATGAAATTTAAAAAAGGAATATAGTGCCAAAATATGTAATATACAAAAAAGTATTAGATACGATACTAACCATCATCGAGTATATAACCAGAAATAGAGGCGAAATAAGGGCCATATGTTCCTGGTAACACATTAGCGATATAGCTATTATAAATATCAACTCTCGTTTGCACTGAAATATAGACAGGCCAACTACTGACCTGTGTGTACGTCTCCTTATATTCCAAAAAATATTCTGTATGTATTGTAATAAAGATATATCTCTAACAATGCCGTGCTGTTCTATTTGGTGGTGCAGGAAAAACAGCAAAACATCTGATTACAAAACAAATGGAATCACATTTTATCGGTAATTAAATATTAAATATGTAATTTTGCAATTTTCGTCCATTATAACAAAGCTCAAGTTATCTGGTCGATTTGAAGTGAAACAGTTGACGACTCCCGCCAATTCTTTCGAACTCGGGCTAGCCAATCGGAGCGCAGTTGTCACAGTAATGATATGGCAGAATAGTTTTCAAACAAATTAAATGACCTTTCGTCTCTATTTCTGGTTATATACTCGATGCTAACCATGTACTACCACACCATGTTACTTTTACACTGACCACTTTATTTTAATATTTGTCAATGTATTAACTATATTTGTATATTATGTCAAATTTTCACCACCGTATTGTAGTTGGAAATGTTCACGTTACCCCGTAGAGTTTTCTTTTGGAGATTCTGAAAATTGGATAAAAGTACACATTTTCAATGAGTTTAATTAAAATTCGAAATATTAAAAAATAAAAAAGCAATCTTAATGCGCTATAATGTTCCCGTTAGCGTGTTTGTGCAATGTATCCGATTCCTATTCGGTCCGAATCTGAGACTATACCATCGAGTAATAGGGGTTAAAGTAAGAAATTGCCGATTTGTACTGAAAATCTAAATTGTTTATTTTTTAAATTTTTAACAAATTTATTTAATCAAAATAGTTGCCATTATTATCTATACATTGCTGCCATCTAATGGGAAGGTTATTAATGCCTTTGCGATAGAAGTCCGACGATCTAGACTGCACAAACTGTGTGAAAGCATTTTGTACTGCCTCCTGGGAAGAAAACTTCTTGTCACGTAGATAATTGTCCGAATCACGAAAAAAATGGTAGTCCGTTGGAGCAAGGTCTGGTGAATACGGAGGATGACGAATGGTTTCTAACTGCAGTTCCTGAAGGGTCAAAATGGTTTCTCGTGCTGTGTGAGGTCTCGCGTTGTCGTGGAGCAATAATGGTGAAGATCGATTCATGAGTCGGGGCTGTTTTACTGCTAGTTTTGTCAACATGGTTCGGAGTTCGGCACAATAGACATCTGCCGTTATTGCTTGACCAGATCGGAGAAAACTATAGTGAATAACACCATGCTGAGACCACCAAACAGTTACCATTACCTTTTTATTGGTAAGTTTTGCTTTAGGACACTGTTGTGGCATTTGACCTGGGGTCAGCCATTGCATTTTTCTTTTCCGGTTATCATAAAGAATCCACTTTTCATCACATGTTACAATTCGATCCAATATTCCTTCATTTCTGTACCGGTTCAACAAGGCAACACAAGTTTCAACACGCGTTTCTTTCTGCAGATCAGTCAAATCATGAGGCACCCATTTTTCGTATTTTTTTATTTTATTGATTTGACGCAAGTGAGTCAATATTGTGGGTAAGGTAACGTTAAACCATGCCGCTAATTCCTGGGTAGTTTGACTAGGATCGGCTTCCACTATCTCTCTTAATTCATCGTTATTCACCTGTGTGCCCACACACAGGTGAATAACGATCTTCCTCGTGGCTCGTTCTTTAAGTCGAAATTTCCATCACGAAAGCGTTTAAACCAAAATCGCACGGTGCGTTCATTAGTAGACCCCTCTCCAAACGCAGCATTGATATTGCGGGCTGTTTCTGCCGCGTTAGTTCCGCGTCGGAACTCGTATTCAAAAATCACTCGAATTTTCGCAGTATCCATCTTTCTTGTCTAAATTGAATAACAAAAACAATTGAAAGTCGATATTCAAATGTTTCAAATTAAAAAAAAAAATCACAGAAACCATTTGAAAAAAGTTTCATTCGAAAACCTCAAACCATGACGATTCTATGAAAATTCAAAGAACCTATTGCTATAAAACGGCAATTTCATACTTTAACCCCTAATATTTAACCAGAAATAGAGACGAAATAAGGGCCCCATCCATCACTGGCAACTCATCAGGCAAATGTGCCTTATATCACTTTTAAATATCAACTCTCGTTTGCACTAAAATCACAAATTAGAAAGCTGAAATAGGTACAGCGCCAACCTGACCTGTGTGTACGCCTCCGTATATTCCAAAAATATTCTGTATTTATTGTAATAAAGATACTATCTTTAACAATGAGGGCTGTTCCATTCGAATTCGTGGGAAAAACAACAAAACCTCTAATTACAAAACAAACGGAGTCACATTTCATCAGTAATTAAACATAAATATGTAATTTTTCAATTTTCTTCTATTATAGCAAAGCTCAAGTTAAACTAGTCGATTTGAAGTCAATAGTTTCGAATTCGGGCTGGCCAATCGGAGCGCAGTTGTCATCGTAACGATTTGACAGAATAATTTTCAAACAAATTAAAAGACATTTCGTCTCTATTTCTGGTTATATACTCGATCTATACAAATCTAGAAAAGTCGGACCCACTTCGGATGTCGCTTGTGCACTAAAGTCCAATTCCAATCCGAGAAAATACTAATGTCGCTTGTACACCTAGAGATAAAATGATGCCCGTCACATTTCGGACCGTCATTTCTCGGATTCGGAACGAATATAAATTGGATGGAGTGCGCAAACGCACTTATCGTGGTTTCACTTGCATTACTCATGTGTAAGAAAATACAAAATCGATGCCTTACTTTCTCAAACTCCTATCTATAAAGAGTATTCAGGAGATAGCAAAACTTTCTGTTTATTTTAAATTTCTTATCAAGGGTGTTAACATGAATGCATAACTTTAAAAATAGGTAAAAGCCAGTATGTGAATATGAAGGAAATGTGATGTGACATCAGCCTGCAAAATTCGTACACACAATCAATTTTTTGCATTTCAGTAATTTTGTGCTTTAAGATACGAATTTGAAACAGTAAGGCGACGATATGCATAAAAATCTGTGTAAATACTACCATCTATAATTTGTTGTTTGTTATCACTAGATATTAGAGTAGCTTTGATACAATGGTAGCTCGTCAATGTAAAACAAATTTGTAACAAAAATAGCAATTTGGTCGCGACATCTGGTATACCAATAGATACTAAATACTTGACTACGCCGACTTGTTTCGCGATTAGTAGTCTAGTTATCGGTCGATGGAGATTTACTCGAATCTACAAATTGTGCCGCTTGCACGGACACGTATCATTAAACCATTCAAACCTGAACACTACCAACATTTTTAACTGTTTTTTTTTTAATGATATCAAGTGACGGGACGAACAAACAAGTCGTGCACCTGATGGTACACGCCTGTCCATAACAGTTGCAGTGCCACTGAGAGCTTTAAAAAGTCTGAGGCGCACTGCCACAGCGCCCGTCACCCTGAGACATAAGTTGACAAGTCCCATGTGCCTGTAATTTCACCAGCACCCTTACCCTGGAAAACTGGAACACAGTAATGCTGACATTACTGCTTGGCGGCAGAAATAGGTAAGGTGGCAGTACTTTCTTGGACGAACTCTCTCATATGGAGCACTACTGCTACTACAACATGTGAAAACGTTTGATTCGGTTGCAAAGGAAAAAGAAATTAAACTGAGTTCACCTTCTTAAAAATATTAGCCAGCAGCAAATTAGTTTTTTTTATTCTCTCCTTCTTCATCTCTTCTTTCTTCTTCTGTACTTCTGGTAATGTTTTGTATATATTTTGGGAATGTTTTTTCATTTCACGTTCACTTATGAATTTTGGTGGCACTGAAAATATAAAAAATACGATTATTTACTTCAGACTTCGATTTTTTAACGAGGCTTATCTCAAATTCATTATGCGGTGTTTATGACGAGCATACTTGTCATAAACACCGCATTTTCATTTAGTAACTTTCATGTCGTTTCAGATATTGGGACCAAGTTATTTTTTCTTTCAAAAATGTTGAAACGTAAATGGTTACACTGACTGCTTAAAAATAAAGTGAAACGTAATAAGATACAAAAAAGTCGCTTATAGGTGGTTGCAGATCTCGTTTCGCTGATTCTAGAAATATTTTAATAACTCAATTTCGCTAAAATTGTCGATTATTTCGATTGTCGATTACCGAGGACGGCAGTACAACAGACTAAATAAATACAGTTACATCAAAAAGCAGGTTTTATTCTATTCTTTTAAGAACGTAACATGACTAACTCGCATCGATATAATCAGAAATAGAAACGAAATGTCATTTAATTTGTTTGAAAACAATTCTGCGAAATCATTAAGGTGACAACTGCGCTCCGATTGGCCAACCCGAATTCGAAACAATTGACGGCCGTCAATTGTTTCAAATTAATGTTTTCAACGCAAAGGTGAGTTGATATCTAAAAGTGATATAAGGCTCATTGGCCTGGTGAGTTTCAAGGGATGGATGACCCTTATTTCGTCTCTATTTCTGGTTATATACTCGATGCTAGTCCGTTTTTAACTCAGTGTTGCCATTTAAACGCTATTTCTATAAATTTTCAGTTAAACTTGGCATTCTAAGTATTACCATTTTCTACATAGCCACTTTTAAGATTAAAGATATTAACTTCAAATGCACCACTCAGAACACTCAGACTTTTATAAATTGGTTTCCTTTTCTGACGAATCTGGGCAAACATTTAGTCTGAATTGGAACTGTAAGTTTACAAATCAGTCCTAAATGAACTGTGGCGCAAAATTATTGGTTCCTTGTGTATCAAACCCCAGTCACATAGATTTTAGGCTTTCGTGGTTAGTCACTAAATGATTATCATTAATATCAGGCTTCATACCACGGTATGACTTCTTTTTATTTTCCCGATATTTCGGAACGGTTGCACGCTCCATGGCCACGGGTTGACAGTTCCGAAATATCGGGATAATAAAAAGAAGTCATATCGTGGTAAGAAGCCTGAAATTAGTGATAATCAAACCCCAGTTGTTGAGTAAGGGCGCCTTCAAATTAGGCGCTTGTAGAAGAGCTACACATTTCTAGAATTGTGACTACAAAAGTGGCGCACACGTGTCACGATAGTGGCACTGCAACTGCGCTTCTATAAGCGTCTAATTTGAAGACGTCCTTAACGTAGTCCAATAAACCAGAAGAAATTTATTAACCGATTACGTAACACATTTTTTTATATGATAATAAGTGACGGGACAAACAAGACGTGCGTCTGATGGTAAGGGACACGCCTGTCCTTAAGGTCTTTATTGTCTCTATATTGCTTTATAGAAAAGTTGATATAGCATTTATTCGACACGAATTTCATCGCGCTTACGCCGCGCGGAGACCACGTTGCCGCCGCGCAGTAACCGCGTGCATATAACTGTCATGTAAAGTACGCCCTATTTATTTAGCTTTTACGTTTTAACTGACACGAGCATCGGGCGAGTGTGGCTTGTCTTTGGTCTACGCGGCAACCGCGCGATTGTACTATTCAGTAGAATTTAAATGTTGTTGCCTAGTAAATAGAATTCAGATTCGCCAATAATGTACACACGCCAGCACATCAAGCTACACACTGACGTATCTTGTTCCGTTGCACTGGAGGCGATTTTCCTAAAATGTGTAGTCTAATGTGCCGTTGTCCGTATATAAAAGCGTGGTAACCGGGCGGCCGCACGAAAACGTTCACATCGTGTAACTGGATGCTTACCCTCCAAATCCGAGAACAGAAATAGGTAAGGTGGCAGTACTTGAAAACAGAAATAGGTAAGGTGGCAGTTCTTCTCTGGACGAACTCTTTCACAAGGAGCTCCACTGCTACTAAATAACTAACTACTAAATGGCCAAATTTAGCAAAGCTGTGCACTTTTCCTTTGGCACTTATTGGTGATATTTTACTTTTAGGAAATGTAAGATAAAATGTCAACACCTGAGTGGTGCTTATGGGCTTCACGACGATATTAGATGTATCTCACCTGTCTTACACTTGGGGTCTACGCCGAGCTGCTGAGCGAGTTGTCGCAGGTCAGCCTCGGATAATGCTTTCAGTGTTGATTGGGCGTCCAGCTGCAGTTGCATTGACAACAAGTTCCGCACTGCTGTACGCTCATTGGCTCTAGAAGTTAAGAAGTTAAGATAGCTAGTGAAATGATTGGACTGTCTTGGTAAAGAAAATTGCAGCGGAGCTAGGTAATCAGAGTATTTTACCATAGTATAATACAACCTGTGCAACTCCATAACTTTTACAAAAAAAAATTGACCTTAAAAGTTCGTGGAATTACGTCTATTTGCCAAGTTTTATTGAAATCGCTTAACGGAAAGTGGGATTTAGGTGGAATATTCGGTTCAAATTTGAATGGGAAAAGTACTGAGGTTCTAACAAATAAGAATCGAAATCGGTTCAAGAATGTCAGAGCAATCGCGTAACACACACACAAGAAATACAGTGAATTGAAAATCTTTTTTTTTGAAGTCGGTTAATGAAAACGTACCAGTGCAGCTTGTATGTGTGCACGCCTGCTATGCGCCCTGCACGGACGCTCACATTAGCATATTATCGTGATGCATTCATTATACAATTAAGCAATTAAGCGTACGTTCGATATGTATAAAATGACATTAAATTTGTTTATTGTTGTTTGAACAATAATGCCTCAAATTCATTGATTGACTGAACTGACTCATGAATTGTTCAGCATTTCATTTCCATTTCATAATCATATTCCATAACCGAGATACCAATCCGCGATGTTAGTATAAAAATATCAGTACGTAAGTGCTGCATTTAACACAGATTATTTCAATATATCTCGAGAAATTAATTTATTTACAACCTGTGGGTATAATTAAAACAAATGTAACAGACCTACGCTCCGAGCAAAGTGTACGCCATTGACGCTCTGAGCAGGCGGGAGTTCATCGAGTACATAACCAGAAATAGAGACGAAATAAGGGCCATCCATCCCTGGCAATTCATCAAGCAAATGGGCCTTATATCAATTTAAACATTAACTCTCGTTTGCACTGAAACCACAAATTAGAAAGCTGAAATAGTACAGCGCCAACAACTAACCCATGTGTACGTCTCCGTATATTCCAAAAATATTCTGTATTTATTGTTATAAAGATAATAATCTCTAACTATGAGGGGTTGTTCCATTCGGTGGTGTGGAAAAAATATCAAAACATCTAATACAAAACAAACGGAATCACATTTTATCGGTAATTAAATATTAAATAGGTAAGCATGCAATTTTTCAATTTTCATCCATTATACCATACCAAAGCTCAAGTTAAACTGGTCGATTTGAAGTGAAATAACAAATGACGACACTTGTTAATTGTTTCGAACTGACGGGTGTCGTCAACTTCGGCTGGCCAATCGGAGCGCAGTTGTCACCGTAATGATTTGGCAGAATAGTTTTCAAACAAATTAAATGACATTTCGTCTATATTTCTGGTCATATACTCGATGCGGGAGATGCACTACTTGTTTTGTTATACGATGGTATTACTGAATACCATCCATTTGGACCGCCATTTTTCACAGTACATACTTCAATTACTTTAAGTAGTTGTATTAAGCAAGCCCATTTTAGAGCACACGCTGAATAATTTCCTAACGATTTCGCGGATCAATGCGGAATCTACAAGTACAAACTAAAAACTAAACTACCAAAACGACTCACCAAATCTTGATACTTCATTTTGGGAACAAGGATCAGTACCTGTAGTGCAAATCATTGATCAACTACTATCAAGCTTCACGCGTTTAATAATCTACATTTCAATATAAGACGGAAATGTACTAATTTGGGATATTTAGGAGTTTAATACCTCTGCAACATAAGCCAATAGGCATCGCACGATTGCACGGGTCATTGGGTCCGTGAATAACGAGCATGTTCAAATGCGGGGTGGCGTTAGGATCTTCACAGCTGAAGTAAGAAACGTTGGTGAGTTTTTTTAGCTTCAAAGGCGCCAATTTATATAAAAGAAGGTATATGAGATAATAAGAAATATAAATATAAATAAGAAATTGAAACAAGGTACACAAAATATGGATTTGAAAACGTTTGTGCAAGCGTTCGCCAGACATCCCTGCTACTTCTATATAAATCGTGCCAATTGTTTACTAATTTTTCTTTTCATTGTTTAGTACTAACCTAGATTCACTAATCATCTTCAAGCATTTTTGTCGTGTCAGACATTGTTGAATGAAATCTGGGCGATTTTGCTCCAAATAATCTCGAACTGTTGGATCATTCGGTGCACTCTTCGATCTAGTTTTTGCGTCGCCACGAGGACTCTGTTGTTGTTTATGGATATTACATGTAATTTCTTGGAAAGGAACCTTTTCTCCTAACACCTTCTTATTTCGGGGCACCTTTAATATTATATTTTTCATTAGCGGCCGACAAGAATTCGGAAACGGCAGTTCTTCGCTAATTATGCTATCCGAAGTCTGGATAAACAAATTGTAGCCGACATTTTTTTTCTTCTCACTTTTTTTGCATGATTTGCATCTAAGTTGTTTCCATTGGCAATGATAAGCTCGTTTGCATTGCTCGCAACTCAAAGAGGTGCTACTAGAAATCTCACATCTTTTCGAATGATGGGACTTACAACGTCTTTGTTGATACTTTTCACATTCCTTCCTGATTTTATTTAGAACCTTGCAAGTAGCGGAATCCGAAGAGGGCAAATCTGTAGAAAATGGAACATCAGATGATTCGGTATGCCAATCTCTGTAGCGTTTCCTTGAATCCAGTTGAACACCAATATCTTTTACAGACTTTTTCTTTTCACAGTGACAATTTTTGTCTCCACAGTTGCTGCGGCAAGCACACGCCGCTCTCTCACTATCCGACTCGTCTCGGTGGAGTCTGTTACTGAAAGAAATCCCTTCTTTTTCTGATTTTTTATCTCTGTCGTGCTGTAGTTCTTTTCGGCGATAGTCGGATACATCATCTTGAGCAGTGCTCTTTTTTCGACTAGAAAGTTCATTCTTGCCTTCGCTTGAACTTTTGTGTTCGATATCAGAATTAGGATATGTAGACCGTAAAGGAGAAGTGTTCCGAGCGGGAGAAGTATTGCGGGTGGGAGTTCTATTACGCTGAGGAGAGCGGGAGTCAGGATGATCCAGAGACGGAGAAACTGGTCGACGAGTATTCGAATGTTCAGTGGATCTGATGCGTGAATCGCTGCCAGAAACATGTTGCGACCTTTGTATATCTGGCGAAGACGAATCCGAATAATTTACTTTTCTTGAACTATATTTTGAACTTTCTAATATATTCTGTGTTTTCATATTGTTTTCATAAGTACTAAATTCAGATCTTTTTTTAGACGTTACATTATCTGAGACGCCACTTTCAAAAGCTCGCGCAATATCAACATCAGTACTTTCTTCTTCTGTGTCCAAAAGATAGTTCAAAAGCGTCATTATCTCTTTAAAGCATTTCTTTTTCTCACTTTTGTGTATAGATTTTTTTGAGTAACGTCTCGTCAAGTCTTGTATCATTTCTTTGATAATATTTTTAGAGCTAGGCGCTTCAGAGTCATCACTATAATTCTTACTCGTACTTCGGTTAAGCGGAGTTATTTTATCTTCTTGTGGATTGCCAATAACAGAATCTGCATTTAATTTGATATTAGTTTCAACGGCGCACGCAGCATCGTATCCACAGGCACCCATACATTCTGAGGATGCTGGACAGGGGCACGACGATTTTCTCTCTTCGCTTAAAGTTTGACTACTTCTGTCTGATTTTCCAGAATCTGTTTCAATATGATCCCCTTTACCTGGCTGGTTTAGTTTAGGTCGTGGTATCATGCACTTAGCGGTTTTAGTACAATATCCACCACATTTAGCGGTCCGAGAACAAATACACCTTCGCTTAGGCATTCCCTCAGAATGACATGAAGTGCCAGAAGTTTTGCCTTTTCGCGAGTTTTCAGAAGCAGTGTCATTTTTCGTATTGGCTACTCGACGAGCCGGGATAGGTGATTTACGTTGGATCGGTTCTGTGGGAACTGGACTGGTTGCTCTATTAATTGGACTGGTTGCTCTACCAATCGGACTGGTCGCTCTACCAATCGGACTGGTCGCTCTACCAATTGGGCTGATGGCTCTAGCAATCGGGCTGGTAGCTCTTATAATCGGACTCGTCGATCGACTGATGGGACTAGTCGCTCGACTTATAGGACAAGTCGCTCGACCAATTGGACTTATCGGTCTACCAATCGGACTGGTCGCTCCACCAATCGGACCGGTTTCTTTGCTTATTGGAGTAAATTCTTCACGAACAGTGGGTTTTTCTATACATGGAGTGCCCTCGCCACAAGTACCGCATTTTGGAATTTCGGGATAAACTAATTTAGATTTATTATTTTCCGCGCAATTTGGAGCGCTCTCTTTTTCTATAGTGCGACTAACAAGGTTTTTCTTCATAGTTATTGCACTCCTTTCTGGCTCGTACGATGTAAACTCTTTTCTAACAGGAAATTCTTTCATACATTTAGCGGTACTATCACAAGATTCCGTACAATCTGCAGTTTCAGGATAATCACATTTTTCCTTCGCCGCGGCATTCACCTTTGGTAAACAAGATTCTATGCGTACACTTTTTTTTGGACTTCCAGCAAAAGCATCACTTCGAAAATCATTCTCACCACAAGCAAAACGAAGGGTACCTTTTGGCTTTTTGCACTCAGTATCACAGAGTCGGCCGGTTACATCCGTTTCCACATTGTCATATTTTCTTTCTTCTAGCGTGTTTTCATCCGAAGTACCACATCTCGCGTCTGAGTACGACACGAGACTCTGTTTTTGGCAAACGCTAGTTTCATCACTTATTCCCTTACAAATAGATGACCTACACGATTGACATTTATTTACATCAATTATTGGGTCCGTATCAGTACATTTATTTGATTTATTGCATTTTCTTAAATCTTCACCATAACAAAGATTCGGCTTATTGTTTGTAAATAATGCATCCTTCATACAAGTCCCTGTACAACTTGATTCTTGGCAATCATAACATTTCCTGGGGGTACCCTTCATTTCAATAACTCCATGGTATGTGGCATGGTCACAATCAGATCCATAACGCAATTCAAACTTGCCGCTATTAGCATCAAATGGTTTTACTATAGGATAGGTGTAATAGCCTAAATGCTGACATTGATGTTGACTACCGTCTGTTACGTTGGTGACAGCAAGAATTTCATTAATCAGTTCACTGCGTCTTTCACCATTGTTTAATACATTGGAATCTGTGTTTGAGCATAGAAATGGTTTATTAATTGGTTGGGTATCGATTGGTTTTACCACTTCTCTTGTAAACAAAGTATTGACAACGTAATTTTGTGAAGGCATAGTCAGAACAGGATTAGCTTCAGGTATTTTTTGATACTGATTACCTTTGGAACATTCCTCAATCAAAGAAGTAATGTTATCTTTCGTTTTCACTTGATCTGTTAGAATACTCTGACATGCTACTTGTACTGGTGTTTTAATCAAATCATTTGCATTGGTACCCACAGTCACTGTTAACTTTTTGTTGAGATTTCCAATATGTACATTATCTGTAAATTCCACTTGTTGACGATTTCCTTGTTTATAATCTGTTGCAGGTCGGTTAAGTTCTAAACCCACCCTTGTAGGACAAGTACCACTGGATACAGTAACTAAAGCATTAGAATTTTCCGAACTCACAGTTTTATTAGTCTCAGAGTTAATACTCAATTTTGATTTCTGCCTGTACTGTTCGTAAATTAACTGAGCACAATCTGTATCATTTATCATCTTTATATCAGACAAGCAAGCCTCTGGAATTTTCGGATCAATGCTTATTTCTGTTTGAATACATCTGACACCCTCATGAACCCAATACATTTCTGTACAGCGATTTCCTTTAGAACTGTCGGCTTCATATTCTATATTGGTTTGTGAGCACTTAGAAAAAATTGCGCAGTCTTTTCCAACAACAGATTTTTGTTTTGTGTTGTTTGTACGATTACAAGATGCAAGAACATCATGTTGACTTTGCTTGACTTCCATTGAAGTTTGTATATCGTGTGATTTGGTATCTAATGGAGAACATTTGTATATCTTAAAATTGTCAGACACTTTCGGAATATCTTCCATATTGCCACCATTGCACACACAAACATACTTTATTTCGCCATTGGGATCCAATAGAAACTGTGGAAATCGTTTTGTATGCATCGTCGTTTCGACACTCTCATTCACCATGTTACTTGTTGCATCGAGATGTTTTGCTTTATCTTTCTTTATGTTTACCTGAGTGGAACTATCACAAAATTTCAGGTTTGGTGGATGGAGTGATTGAACACCATCCTTTCTACTAGAGCCAGCTGGAGGGGATTCATTTTTTCTCGGCGACTCTTTTCCTTCGCTTTTTTTAGTTTGAGCCTTTCTATGACTTTCAGAATTACCAGATGAAAGAGTGAATACAGAATGGCTTCTCTGTTTCATCCCTATTGGATATCTTATATTGACTCCCGAGCTGGAGCCTCCTTCTAATTTACTTGCGTCACCAGAACCGTCATCATAATTATTTCTTGTCAAATCTTTCATTAAATTTTTTATTCTGTTTTGACTTTTTGCATCGAGTCGTGAGGGAAAGTTGAAAGTAGCATCTGAACACACACGTTTTTGCTTCAAAAACATTTCTTTATCTCGCAAATGTTTCTTATAGGCTTCTTCTTTCCTCAAAGCATCTAAATACTTTTGATACAGCTCCTCAGATGATGTTTTCTCCTTGCTAGACACGTCTGACTCAGTATTAGATGTTAGCAAAGTTTTAGCATTACTCGAAATGACAGGTTCTCTAGTGGATACAGAAGCTAAGTTAGGAGTGCTCTGTGACGTTGAAGCTACAGCACTTGTACTGAATTTATCAGGTCTCAAAATTGATTTTCGTGGTCTTGACGGTTTCACTTCTTCTGCTGTATTATTTGCATCAGAAGTGCTAGTAGTAGGGTCTTCCTTTAAACCTATTTTTTTGCTACTGAAACTCAATCCTGATAGAAATTCTGTAGTACTATCTTCATCTCTGTAATTAGCTTTAAGTAATTGTTGCACAACTTCTTTGACTAGTCGTTCCTTTAAATTAGAGTCATTATAACGTTTCTGCAATGCCCCTTTAAGTAAATTGATGCTTTTCTCTAAATCTTTAGTAAAAGATTTTTTGGATTCTTTACTTGAATCAGTAGTAACTACGCCACTAGATTCTAAACTAGATTTATTTCCAGCAGATTGATGAGGTCTTGGTTCATCTTTATTTATTTTATTTTGATTATAAATATGTCCAGGCATATATTCGAAACTTTCGGCATCAGAAACTGGTTCACCACTTTTTTCTTGAACGGGAAGATTTTCTTTGTTGGCTTCAAATCTCTTTCGCCTTCTAGGCTTCTTTCTCATTGTCGCCACTTTCTTCCTTCTGTTTCTATGTCTAAAGGCGTTCAGATTAATCAACACAGGTACACCTTGACCATATATCTCTCCAGCTTTTGGTACTTCAGCTGAACTACTAGACTTCTCCTTTTCTTTTATTAGAGAAGTTTGAACTTCTTTATCGATAACTTGTGGAATCACATCTGTTTTTACTGCAACTTTCTCAGGTATAACAGATAAATCCTTTTTCTTCTCATCTACACTTATTCCACCATCTTTCTCCATACTGAAAGATATGTGTTTTGTCAAGTTCACATTGATAGATTGTCCTGAATTTAAGTTGGAACATTCAGGTAAGTTTACTTCAACGAGGTCAATATCCCGTCGATAAATTTTTGTCGTTTTCGATGGCTTTTTAGCTTTAGATTCGTTAAGGTCCATTGGTGTAGAGTGAGCTGTGGGTAATCCTATATTAGATTCTTGTTTTGCGTCACTATTTGAATACTGTTGCTTTAGTGCAAGTCTTTCTAGAGTACTCAGACTTGATGCTGAGTTTTTTCTGTCACTTTCATTAGCATAACCAACATCTGCTAAGGAATCCCACTCTAGCTTACGCTGAGACGTCACACTGCTAGTTGGCGATGGTGGTTTGTTCAGTGATGTATCTAAGGTGACGTCGACCGCTGAAAAAACATAAATTGACACTTATTAAACAACTACCTCAATACACAATTTTCTTTAGATACTGATGTACTCCATAGCTAGGACGCAATAACATAAACAACAGATTCCAATTTATCATTAAAATTACCTATGTATATGTACAATGAAATATACCTGTGTGCAAATGTATATTTGTAATGAATTTTAATTACAGTTACTTTTAGAACCAAATCATCTGTCCAGTTTGTAAGCACACCTCGTATTACCTTCTCTCTCACTCGTTCTTACCTGATGTTAGATAGATAACTACAAATAATATAAGTGTCGAGTATGTCGTTGTTAGCTTGCTAAGGTTGGTTATAAAATGCACACAATTTTGTATTGTATTTGTACTTCTGTAATGTCATTTGATACAAGACCCCATTAAAATTTCGCCAGAACAAATGGAGAAAACTGCTAAGAGTGTATTGCTGGAGGAAACCTAAGCTCAAGGACAGGCTAATACCAATCCTAATGTTGGTATTAGGTAGATAGATACATAAAAGCTGTATTTACTTTACCGAATTTAACCAAACAAATTAAAAATAAAAGCTCAACAATCTTTAAACAGACAGAATGAAACAAGGTCGTTTTGCTAGTCATGACTATGAGGAGGCATTCAGGAGACATTCATGGCCATGAGGAGGAGGTCAGCATAAATACATAAATTGGATAAAATACAAAAAACATAGTTATTCTATCAACCTTGATCAGCCAATAAAGAGCTTTTTTAATCCATCAAATAATTGAACACTTACATTTCTGTGAATGGTTATCATCAGATTTCACAGATTCGTTATCTGAAGTTCTGGAAATATTAAGCTGATCTTCATCTACATATTCCGTGATGATAGGCGGTGATGCGGAGTCATTATTTTCTTCTTTCGGTTGAGTGTTTTCATCCTAAAATTTATGGAAGATAAACATCATAAATAAAAACATGTATAAAACTGTTACTTTTTGAATAAAATTTAAAAGGTACTATAGTGAAAATTATACCACCTTCAAGGACTACAAAAGAATAGTGGAAATATACAAATCAATATGAATGATGTCAAAATTGATTAATAAATGACAACAATAAAATTGTACAGCTATGTGATAACATAGTATAATAAAACAAGTAGTGCAACTTCCGCTCGTTTTGCTTCAATCCGTTTTGCGTCATCCGAAGCATAGGGTTGTCACGTCATTATTCTAGTTGTATCTACAGGCTAATGTTATCATAATAGCAGCAGAAGTCCTTGTAAAAGAGTTCGTCCAGGGTAGTATTGCAACCTTTCTGCCGCAAAAAGTAATGTCAGCATTACTGTGTTCCGGTTTAGAAGGGTAAGGGTGCTAGTGAAAGTACAGGCACATGGGACTTGTCAATGTATGTCTCAGGGTGACGGGCGCAATGGGAGTGCCCATCAGATCTTTGCAATTATATATATATATAATTTGGAAATTCATTACAACATTTGTGTGGTTGAAGTAACCTTTGTCAAATGCCGTTATTACATATAGATTTTTTTAACATCACAGATTAGTATATCGATAATGGGAGTATGATTATGAAATAGAAATGAAATGCTGAACAAAATGACCATAAACACTACAATAAACACATCTATTGATGACAATGTCTACTTTAATCATTGAATGAACCCTTCAATTCTATAATGAATGGCGTATGTGACAACTCGCCCGTGCACCTGTATGATGCGTGCGTCCTTACACGGCGACATGCGGCGGGCGCGCACATATACAGGCCACACTGCTACGTTTCTATGGAGTTAAATTACTTGTCTTATTATAGTATGGTGATAGTCGCATATTAATGCGTTAATGGTTAGATGCGAAGTTACTAGCATAAATCGAAGAAAAATATGATACCAATTACTAGGATAAATCAAAGTAAAATATGATACCAAGTTATAAATCCTATTTTTAAGATTACCTTTTAAAACATATTTTGACAACCAAACAAGGCAAAAAGTTATAAATCCCATTTTTAAGATTACCTTTTAAAACATATTTTGACAACCAAACAAGTAGGCAAAATGGTGAGTGTTCAAGAAGGTGTAACACAGAAGAATAACGTTTTGTTAAAGGTACAAATAAAATTTGTAAACTTTCAGCACTTAAATCACTAGATTGTTGATATATCGAAGTTTTAACGCGTAATGAACGTATTGACTAACAGAAAGAAAGCAAGGTAGTTTTATTTATAGCCAAGTATCATAAATCAATTGAAGCAATAAGCAGAAATGACTCCGCAGTTTTTGTTACTTAGGAAACTATTTACCTGTAGTAAATAGAGCTTGAATTTATTTTTGTAATTTTTAACCAAGTAGAAGGTTATCCATTAGCTGATATTTACTTAAGCACCCAATGATACTACATAATAAATTATAATTTCAAAGTAAAGTTTTACACATTTTCACCTCCGTTGCCAGGAAAATAGTAATACCTATTTAGTATAATACCAATACCGACTACTCGCAATATGGGCGCCTGGAGGTCCAAGTTGTGGACAACAGCCCGTTGCACTAGAATACTGATGTTGCTAGGATATTAAGTACGGTTGACTACATACTTGTACTATTACTAAGTATTATACTTATCAGAGCCGAGCTTCCTTATGACACAGCCTAACCTCCAAAGCAATATCAAAGTCCAACTCAACAGCAGCTATTACATACTCGAGCATTTTTTTCTATAGATAGTAAGTGCACATTTCTGCCATCCTTGTCATAACTAATGTAATCAACACTTCTAACAAAATTGAACTTATCTGGAATCAGTGTATCGCGAATCGGTTTTTTATATATTATTTCATGTTAGTTTTACCGCTAAGCGAAATCAGCACAACTGACATTTTTCAAAGAAAATAAACTTTCAGAATCAATAAGAAAATAAACTTTCAAAATCAATGTAGTCAGAGTTACCAAAATGCAAATGCATTAGTTATATTAAGGAAGACAGATTGATACCTACAATGAAAACTATGTTAACTACATAAAATTCAGTTGGTGTAGTATTCATTGGAGGTATTGAGATTTGACCTTCATCTTATGTGATGGAAAGAGGCAATAAGGTTGAAAATAGAACATGCATACCTTATTATGCCCGTTCAAAGGGCCCTACAGCATTCAAGGAACAAATCTGCACATTTATACATAGTGCGCACTATAAGTTTCCAGAACTGGCCACTTACGTAAACTATATTTAAAAAGTCATTGCAACATTTGAAAATAGAACTCTTTGGCTGTAGAATACAGATTGTTTTATCTGACTGTCACTTGTTTTTACATTGTGGCATCATTTTAGAAATAATGTAGACTAACAATTTCTATGTGATGATGAAATGTGATGTAGACTCTACATCACCATGGATTTAACTTGTGCAGATTTTCGTAATATGATTTTTTATTACTTTAAGTGTAATTGAACAGCTCAGTGGAGCTTTGCTCAGCTTCAAACTGCTTTTGGCGATGAAGCACCATGCAAGACGACTATTTACAGCTGGTTTGCAGAATACAAACAAGGTTGTGTGAATCTCAGGGTCGTATTCTAGAACTCTACTCAATGCTCAAGTCAGGATTTGAGCAGACTTGAGTATGATTTCAAGCACTAGAAATATGACCCTAATGGCAAGGACTTAAGTATGATTTTCAGTGCTCACTGCAATAATCAAGTATAAGACTGTATAAGACTGTATAAGACTGTATAAGACTGTATTTATACGAGTTTTAAAAACGTTCGTTTCAAACTTAATTGTAACATGTATGAACTCCTTCGCCGCGGATAAAGCCGGAAGGGCTTTTGTGAGCGATGATTGTATTTATTTATTAAGTATTTTTTTTCCTGTTTTTGGTCAATAAATTAAAAAAAAAAAAAAAAAAAAAAAACTTGAGTACTGAGTAGAGTTCTGGAATACGACCTTCAGTGACGAATTTCATGACAGTCGCCCGACCACTGCTGTGGATGCAAACTGCAAACAAACACATGGATGCTGTGCTCCATATGATCAAAACAGACAGGCATGTGACATACCATGCGTATTTAGCCATAGGCATGAGTGAAATACAATCAATACTACACAAACATTTAGGTGTGAAAAATCTGTGGTATCAGTGGATCACACACAATTTTACTGAGGCTCAAAAAATCGATCGTATCATTTGGTGCAATGCCATGCTCACTAGATTCAACGAAAGGGCGTCAAATTTGGTGTGGGACATAGTAACAGGTGACGAAACATGGATTTATAGTTACAATCCTAAAACAAGGCAGCAATCAAGCAAATGGGTCATTCGAGATGATCTGCAACCAACCAAAGTGGTGTATGTGCAAAGTGCCTCTAAGGGGATGATTGCTTTTTTTTTTAATAAAACTGGACACGTGGCTACTGTTGCTTTGGAGAATCGTTGTACCGTGAATAGTGATTGGTACACAACCATTTGTTTGCCAAAAGTTGTTTAGACAAACTCTGTAAACATAACTGTAAACACCGTATCATCTTGCACCACCATAATGCCAGTTTTCACACAGCCAGACAGACAAATGAATTTATGAAAGGTGAAGAACATTGACCTCATGAGCCATCCGGCTTACAGTCCCGACCTGGCACCTTGTGACTTTTATTTATTTCCAAAAATTAAAAACCAGTTATGCGTTCAAAGATTTTCATCACCTGAAGAGACTGTTGAAAAGTGTGAAAAATATGTTTCAGAGGTTGCCACAGAGGAGTGGCATAAATGTGTTCAAAATTGGTTTAATCATATGAAATAGTGCATAAACGCTAACAGAGAATATTTTGAGAAACAATAAATTCATTTCTGACCATTTATAGTGTTTTTTTCTTATTTATTTTGGAAACTTATAGAGCGCCCCACATATGAAGTGGTATTCCACTCTAAAGTCGTGCGCCATACAAATGTAGATGCATAATGCTTCATATAAATCTTATGCACACGATGCGTAAAAATATTGGTACCCTAATTGTTATAAAAACACACATATACGAGTTTTAATTATATCGCACTAGTGACATTTTTTAAAGTACAAAATTACCTGTGAAGTGCAAGGTTCTTGGTCTAGAAGCGAGCATTTAATAGATATTCTGCAAATTTCAGTAGACGACTCACGGCTCTTCTCTCCCGACTCTGAATCGCTTTGAGACTTCATTCTCCTCCAAAACAAGCTCGAAGGGTCCCTAACGTCACCCTGAGCTGTCGATAAAGAAAAGTACTGCTCTAAATCCCTTTTACGACCAAACTTTTTGTAATAATCAAGAATTGTTGAATTCAACGCTGACGGGCCATCATCTGGTCTTGAGTGAATGTTCAAAATACCAGGATTATCAAATTCATCACTTTCCATAATTCACATAAGACCACGCAAAACGTTTACCTCGCCTCAAAACACGAAATACAATTACAATTTTCTCTTTTTAACGGTCCACATACGCAACATATTTTGAAATTGACATTTTCACAAACAAAACAAAAGACGCTCAGTTGACAGTAATAGTGTTGCTATTGTTCGTTTTTTAAACGGTATGAATTTTCTTTAAACGAATTACAAACATGAAAACTTGGAGGATGGAAAAAAAATAAAAATGAAAATATCCCATCTTTGTATTAAATATCCTGAGTATTAAATACCACACAAACAGGCCAACACACAAGACCTGTAAAAGGGAAATGAATAATAAAATTGTGAGAAGCTAAAATCTATAGTTTTAGTGCACTTTATATTCCAAAGCTGTTAGTATTATCATAAATTAGACGAATAACGGGTAAACAAAACACAGTCTTAATTATTAATACCAAGATCGAACACTCGAAAAAAATCCTTCGATCCGGCCGGATTCGAACCGACGTCTTCTAGCATACCGTGCCAGACGCTATACCAACTAAGCCACGGAACGAACCAGCGGACTTCACGAATTTTTCTATGTCCTTGTTGTGTATATTTAGTTTTCAACGACTTTTTAGTCGTAGCGCATCTATGAGAAATCTATGAAAGTTTTATCACCCAGTTAGATACCTTTACTTCATCCAGCCATCCCTTCATCCTTCATAGATGTCGCTATTAACTGTATTTTAAATTTTTATTGAATTGATATTCAATTATTTTTTGTGAAATTACTGATTATATTATTTCTAACAAAAACAGCCTACGCTGTTTGAAATGGGAGCCTTCGTTGCAAATCAATAATTTAAAATAATAAGTTGGTACAAAAAGTTACCTAAGGACAAGGACCGTAGCATCAAGAACAAATAATCTCAGTACAGAGTACTAAAAAAACCGACTTTTAAAATTCGTGGAATTACAAAATCTGCCAAGTTTTATTAAAATCGGTTACCCGAAATACCGGAATTGCCGAAAAGTACGTGAAACCGGATTCATCCCCTAGTTTTCCACCCTTCCATTCACCCGTCCAGCACGCGACGCTTAGAAAATCGTCAAGTCGACCGTTTATTTTATTGTTTACATTATGAGCTACAATAAGGCGCAGGTAGTAACATACATACAGTCGAATTGAGAACCTCCCTTTTTTTTAAGGCGGTTAAAAGGTACACGAGTGTGTTTGTGTAAAGGAAAAAATTACAATGATTTCTTTCTTAGCTATTCCAAGGTTGGAAAATACGGCTGGAAATTAAAAAAATCCTGGTGCTGCTTCTCAGTGACAAACATTTAAAGACTTCTATTTATTATTATTCCCAGCGAAATAAAAATAAAACGTATCAATTGAGGAACCCTCTTCATACATGCAATAGGCAATTTTGTATCGCATACAGTAACGGCTCATGATAATAATAATAATAACCTCTGACCGCGAGTCCATATGGAAAGACAAGGAGCTCCATGGGAGATTCTTTAAGGTACTCCACGAGTCCTTCATGTACCGTAAAGCCTCCATAAATTGGCTGCGTTTCGGGGACCTCTTTGGGGAAAACGAAGGTTTTGTCTGTGTAATACAGGATCAGGTTATCAAGACGCGGAACTATCGGAAATATATCCTAAAAACGGTACATTGTCATGGACAGGACTATTCTTGCGAATAAGCCTGATATTGTGATATTGGATCGATCGCAGTCGAGGATATTTCTCGTTACCATCCCGCATAATAAGGGTCTCATGAAAGCCGAATCTGAGAAACGCCGGAAGTTTCTCGACCTGGCGCACGAGATCACTGACATGTGGGATGTGGCCTCCACTGAAATAATCCCAAATGTTATGTCCGCAAACGGGTTAATTCTAGTCAGCCCTTCTAACAGCTTGAGGAGGTTGGATTTCTGTGGCGTGTCGCTTTCAGCACAAATGCAGAAGGCGGTCCTGCTCGATACGGCACGTATTGTTCGCCGGTTCTTGAACCTGAGTTCCTGACTACGGCCGACTGTGCCAATGCCGGGAAATGCCCCCTCTCCCATTTAAAAATTCAAAATTAAACTTTAAGGCCTTGGGAGAGGCGAGAGTCTAAAATAGATAATAATAAATCTCTTCACAACAGGCATTATTTCTAATCATCTTTTCCATAGCCATAAATTATTAGGGTGTAAAGAAACCTCCACAAATTCTTGCAAAAAGCTGTAATTTTAAATATACGCCGCATCGTCAGAAAATTCATGCGGATGGAAGAGGACGAAGTAGGATCTTATTACACACCCACCACATACTCATAGATACACGCCTACTGCATTTCCTTGACTTAGGTCCGTAAATGTGCTTCAAACCAGGAGGTTTGGCAGTAATTGTTTCGGACGGATGTCGGACGGAGATCGAGCGTAGACCCCCTGCTAACAAGCTGAGAAGACTAAAGTAAATAATAATGATAATACAGGTTACCGTATTTTTAAAATTAAGGACATATTATGTAGAGGCTGATGGCTAGATAGTTCAGAGGGTGTCAATAAACAATTGGAAATATTGGTTATAATATGGACGTGCGACTGGTAGAAGATTTTCTCGCAAGAACCACAAGTACAAGACACTTGTACGTTGCTCAACACACACATTTTTCAATATTTTCTTAAAGGCACATTAACAAAGGTCTGTTCTAAGCAGCCGATTTTTATTTTTTTCTAAAACTGTACTATAATTTTGGGTTGGTAATACTTTGAAGGAAAAGGTATTTTATCGTACAAGTTTCTTTATTAGAAATAAAATTATGAATTCAAAATTTGGTTGAAAAAGAACCATGTGCATTTTGATATTGCAATTACATTCTGACAAACGAGTGTGATTGAGACTAATTATTTGCTATTTTATTTTTTATTAAAATAAAAATTTAAAGCGTTATAAAAGATTTACGAGAAATAGAATGATAAATGCGAAAATTAGCAAAGATATCACTTCTAGTATGTACAACATATAAGCCAAAACCATAACAAAACGAAATGGACAGCCTATGACGTTACATTGATTATCTGAATATCTGTACGGTGCGTAAACACCTAAACAGATACTATATATATTACGGTTACGGTTGTGGTTACGGTGGAGGCGTATTTGTTTTCTTCGTTTTTGTACTGTATTTGTGATTAAAATACTTCAAAACCATGTCACGGCAAACTTCTAGACTTGACGCAAAGAAAGTCGTAAGTTTCTAAAACAACATAGATGCTGTTTAATCATTACGTTGATAATTGTTTCACAATTTTTAATGAAATTTTCAGAATTCCGAGTTGCTGACGCTCACGTACGGTGCTCTAGTATCGCAAATGTTGAAAGAAATAGATAGTTCAGAGGATGTTAATAAACAATTGGAAAGAATTGGTTATAATATGGGCGTGCGATTGGTAGAAGATTTTCTCGCAAGAACCACGTCCGGACGTTGTTTGGAGATGAGAGAGACTGCAGACAAGATTCAGCAGGCCTTCAGGTAATTAACAATAGTATTTTAGGTTTGCATTGGTTTTTTTTAAATAGTATAGAATTTATGTTTCAAAAACATTTGTAGATTGATATAAGCTGCGCTTCACCCAAAAAGAAGGTTATATTTAATCTGTCAAGTGGGTTTCTTAGTTTTCATTATGTTATGAGATTCTCAACTGGACATTGCCATTGTTCTCCATAATTATTATATTATTTTTACAAAACTAAAGTACCTACTTACATAAACATTTTTATCCCTGACATTGGCAGAATCATTGTAGAAATTGATGGAGTTGTGGAAAAATTAGAAATGGTTTTTATATGAAAACAGTCTATATTGTCGCTGGGCTGAAAATACTGCTTAAGTAATTTACAGAATTGTAAAGAACAGTAAAAAAATACTTATAAATATTGAAATAAAAATCATTTATTGCAGACAATTATTATTGTATATAGAATTTTATAATTCCTCTTTTATATACATATTATAATTTGCTATATTTATGGATAACAAAAGTTGTATGTGTGTTGGTTGTACAATGTTATAAATATTCATGTTTTATTCTGACTTGAGTAATATTCAAATGCGCTGACACTGCGCTGGGTGTCAGGACACTCTGACATTGAGGGTAATGAGTCAGTGGATGAACTGGCGAAGGCTGGTGCTAGGGAAACCTTTATTCGACACGAACCCTTCATAGGGATAGCATATAGCCTGGCAAAGATCACTCTGCTAAAAGAGAGCACACATCTCTCCTGAGAAATGTCATACAGAGGACGTGTCTTGAGCATTCAAAAGCCCTTATATCTACTAACATTTGCAAACAGGAATAAACGCCTTCACATATGAATAGGTATTTTTCACACCTACGTAGTTTCCTGATGTTAATTCCCATTTCCAAATGTTAGTACAATGCAATGGGAAAGTTTAAAACTATATATTGCCCTGATATCTGCCAACAGTGCCAAACACTGTAGAGAAGCTCTGTCATAGGACAGGAATGCTCACTAGAGCCTTAACAGGGCATTGTGGCTTGAACAATCATATGTCAACTATTGGACAGAGAGAGAATAGAAAATGTCGATTCTGCCTCAAGGCGGATAAAACTCCTGTTCATCTACTCACCCAATGTTACCCCCTTATGGGCGTACAAAGTTCTACTGGGAAGGCATATGCCACAACCGGAAGACATTAAATCTGTCAGAGACAGGAACGTCTGTCAGTTCTTCAATGCTGCCTAGATCAGTCAATGGTTACAGTGATGAGAGGAGGTGTAGGCTCTGAGTGATGCCACCCCAATAATAGTAATCTTAGACTACAAATTGTAATCAATATAAGGTCATCTAAGGCTCTTATTTCTTTGTTTCCAGGCTATATCTAAATATGCAACCGACGGTAACAAGTTGGAGTAGTTCTGGGGATGAGTTTTCTCTTGTTTGGGACCAATGTCCGCTCAGCGAGTGGGTGGAGATGCCAAGCAATGGGTTAAAGTACTGTGCAATCATACCCGGAGCAATTAGAGGAGCATTGCAGATGGTGCAACTTGATGTACAGTGTTGGTTTGTACAGGTAAGAGAAATAGTTTTACATTTATAAGTAACAGTACCTATAAATACATAAGTATAGTCCGATTCAATCCATTTTATAGTAAAAGTAAACAATCCAGTTTGGTTTTAGTTCTAAAGCGATCTCTTAATAAATAGAATAAGTAACACTTTAAAATATATTTCGAAGATTTCAACTTGATATCTCATCTTTTCTAACAATATTCATTTGAATAATAACTTAAAATCGAATTTGAAAAATGCTAGTCTAAAAGTGAGGTTATTTTTCAAATGTAGAAGTATGGACTTGTCTATGGTGCATAATGCTGTATGAAAAAAGTCATTCAGTTCATTCAATTGAAGTTTTTGTAATTGATTAGAAAAACGCAAAAAAAGCAAGTATGTATGTACGTGTACAAGAATTTAAAGAAGGATCTAAAATTGAGATTTCAGAAATTTTTAATTTATTTTTAATGTCAAGTAAGAAAAACCACCAATAA